GTCTCCTTCCAGTTCAAGTGTCCCAGGCACCCCTCCATGAAAGTTGATGGATTTGTGTGAACACTCTTCTGACCTACATGTATAAATCCTCGCATCGTCATACTCCATGATTCCTGTGGCCGTCCGTTTTCTTTCCAATTCCTTTCTTGTCATTTGCAACTTCCAGCAGCCTTATCTTTCTACTTGGGATGGTCACCCGCGATCTGTTTTCTCCACATTTCTGTAACTTTACCTCAACGATGATGCTGTATTAGTTCTCTTCAAGGCTTTTCTTTCTTCCCTGGATTTTTGCAGTAGTCGATGTGGTAATACTACTTGCTCTACGACGATCTATCACTAGTATGATGATGTGTCTTGGCAGTTACTCAAGTGCTTGACTTCAATATATTCAGTACCCTGCTCCGGCATGGGTTGGTGCTTTGAACCCCGATATCGCCAGCTCTTTCTAGGTCGCCCGTTTCCAAGTATAGGCTCAATTGGAATAGCATCCGGGCATGTTTCGGACCTGGAAGTCCATCACCCGGACTAAAAGTCGCTCCCTGCTCGGTTGGCAAGATCACTGCTGCAAATGCAGATTGATTACACACCAACATCAATGACAACAGCCAAGCAAAGAATCTCTAGTCCTCAAGGCTGTTGTCTCAATCCCGCCTTGTTTCATTGAGGTAACGATGCATCCCACCACCAGACGGCAAGATACCGTTCTGCAATTATGGCAGGTTATCCAGGAAGGCCACTCGAATTTCTCAATCCCAGTCATCATCATCGTCATCAGCATGCCTATAACTCCTCGCGTTGCCCGTCCGAATCGACCGCTTCCCCCGATCTCTGCGCTCTCCGCCATCACTATCATCATCTTCCGACCCATCAGACGCCCCATCACCAGCCCCGAACTTCTCCTGAGCAAGGATTCCCTTCCATATCAACCTTTTCTCCAATGTAGCAGTGCTAAAGCCATCTGTTCCATCCCGACCACCCGATCCTAGCCCCTCAAACCCAGTCACGCGCTCAACCCCAACCCCATCCTTGAATCCAATCACACATGGCAGCACCCGGATCTTCAACCGCTCCACCACAAACGGCGTGTTTCGTACATCCACCCGAGCGAAACGTACCTCATGGTGTCGGGTTGCTAGCGCTCTAATATGCTCGTCCATTGTGCCGCAGCGCACGAAATCCGGGTGGGCAAAGTGAATCACGCATCGATGGGTCTGTGTGGTAAAGTCTAGGAGGGCTTGGTCGCTGGAGATGGTCGGGTACAGACTGTCTTCGAGGATGGTGTGGTCGCGGGTGCGGCTGTCATTGTTGTTCTTGTTGTTTTGGGCCGAGGCAAATTCCGCATTGAGTTGCTCAATTCGGTGTGCTCGATAGGCTGCATCGTCTTCGTTTTCTAGCGCGTCGAAGAGAGCGTCCGAGTCGGCGTCGTGGTCATCTTGGTCTCTTGCGGGGGGGTTGTCTTCGAAGGCGCGACTCATGGCTGTGGTGGGTTCTTCTCTATTGTGGGTTATAGTTGCAAAGATGGGCTTTCGGTGCAGAGAGCGAGGCTGAACCCGATGGTATAAGTTTTCAACTGAAAATAAGGGCAAGCCTTAGAAAGAGACAGGGATAGGAAAGGTAGTTTATATGGTAGTTAAATGTTGTGATAAAGGACAGAGAGGGGAGTGCGAAGCACACGGTGGGTCGGAGGGGTAGTTGGAAGCTAGATGTTCCCGCAAAAGGGCTTCAGAGATTGACTTTGAGTGGGATAGAAGGAGGTTTAACTGAAAATATTATATGTAAGGATATGGATACAATATTCCAAGGTGAACAGTCGTTTCTCCTTTGTAACTTGATTGGGGAGCGGAGTCTATACGGAGGCAGAAGAATCTACGGCGGGCTATCGGTCGGTTTGGACCGCATTGAAATTCTTAGTCCTGGTACGATACGGAGTATGGAGGAAGTCCCTGAAAAGGTACCACCGCCTCTTCAGTCAGGTACCAAGTGTAATTAATCATTTCCACCAGATCTTGATTTCCCCAGCAATAGGGACAGCGTGGCACTGTGAGAAACGTCAGTGATAATCGGAAACAAGCGACCAAGGCACAGGTAATATGAACATGTAGAAAGCCAAGCATGGCACACCATCACAGAGAAACATGAGTCTACTGTATGTAACTATGTATGTATTGGTATATCAGCCAAGATTAAAAATAACCGACTGTACGCCGCATCCGGAGGAAGCGGGAGTTCCAGCCCAGGCGGGAAAGGAAACCTTTTTTTTCATTTCCCAGTAATTTGCTTTTCCCCCTTCGCCTTCGTTCGCGATATTATTATTCTTCTCCCTTCTGGTCTTTCTTCCTCCCCCCGGCTTATCCTCAGCCTCTTTCTCGACTTTCTTCTCCTCGTGTCTTTCCCCCCTCTTCTTCCCCCCTCGTCTACTTCAAATCCTCACCCCCCGTTCTTTCCAAACTGCCTGGCTGAGTGAACATATCTCCGGGTCGGTGTTTCGTGTTCTTTTTTTATACTTGCGGGTTTTCTTTCCTCTTAACGCTCGCTCCGGCGCCGCCACTATCACTTCATCCCCGACTCGCCTTCGCCTTGCCACGACTTCTCGTTCCCACAGGCCTGTCGTTTTCAATTCCCACCCCCTTCGCATAGACACTCTTTGAATCGGTCACCATGGCTGAAGGCAAGAAGACCGACGACTACACGATCCAGATGGATTCGATAGATCAGGGCAACAAGAGCTTCGAGGCTCCGCCGCCGCCTCAGCCCAGGAGTCCGCCGTCGGGCTCGCTGTCCAACAACCCCATCTTGCCCGTGTTGGCCTACTGTGGATCCTCGATCTTGATGACCGTCATGAACAAATATGTCTTGTCCGGCACTGATTTCAACCTCAACTTCTTCCTCCTCTGCATCCAGGTATGTTGGCTAACATCGGAGCACATTGCGGGTGTGTGTTGCATGCTCAATGCTGACCGCTGTTCGATTTCTCCTGCAGTCTCTCGTTTGTATTATTGCAATCCAGACCTGTAAATCATGCGGTTTGATCAATTATCGCGACTTCAGCGCGGACGAGGCCAGAAAGTGTAAGTGCCCAGACTCTACATGCGTGCTTTCAAACCCTCCATCGCGCCCTCGAACTGACATGCCTTTGATTATCACTAGGGTTCCCCATCACTCTGCTCTTGATCGGCATGATCTACACGGGCTCTAAGGCGCTTCAGTTCCTCTCCATTCCCGTCTACACCATCTTCAAGAACTTGACCATCATCCTCATCGCTTACGGAGAGGTGCTGTGGTTCGGTGGCTCTGTCACCGGTCTTACCCTGTTCTCCTTCGGACTGATGGTTCTGAGCTCTATCATTGCCGCCTGGGCTGATATCAAGCACGCTGTCGAGAGCAATGGCGATGCGACCGCCAAGGTTTCTACTTTGAACGCTGGGTACATCTGGATGCTGGTCAACTGCCTCTGCACGTCGTCCTATGTTTTGGGCATGCGCAAGCGGATCAAGCTGACCAACTTCAAGGACTTTGACAGTACGTTGCTCTGGCTAAAAATATTGTGGCTCAAAAGCTTCGTTCACTGACCTGCTGTTTACTAGCCATGTTCTACAACAACCTTCTGTCGATCCCCGTCTTGATCGTTCTGTCCGCTTTCTTGGAAGACTGGTCTTCCACCAACGTCAACCGCAACTTCCCTCCTGTGGACCGCAACAGCATCGTTTTCGCCATGATCCTCTCCGGCTTGTCGTCTGTGTTTATCTCCTATACCTCCGCCTGGTGTGTTCGCGTCACTTCATCGACCACTTACTCCATGGTTGGAGCTCTGAACAAGCTTCCCATTGCGATCTCTGGACTCATCTTCTTCGATGCTCCTGTTACCTTCCCCAGTGTTTCGGCTATCGTCGTTGGCTTTGTTAGCGGTATCGTTTACGCCGTTGCTAAGATCAAGCAAAACGCTAAGCCAAGGACTGGTGTTTTGCCGACCGCCAACCCCCCGGTCAGCGCCAGCAGCCAGAGCATGAGGGATTCGCTGCGCTCCTAGTCGGGTTGCCAGTGATCAACGGGATGGTCGGGTCGTGGGCGACTGCTCCGGCTTGACCATCGTCAAAGTTGCTTCGTACCGTGTGCAAGACTGAGCGTGCTCGTTACTCGCATGTGATCTGTGATTCTTCGTTTCGTTGTAATTGGCGAGGGCTGTCGTTCAGACCCTGAATCACAGTCTTCATGCCTTCCTCGGCAGGTGTTGGTGGTTCTGTATTCAATCTCCACATGTCGAGCTACCTGAGAGGCCTATAACCTGCTGTTCTTGGCCTTTCAGCTTTGCTTTCAAATATCTGCCCCGATCATGACCCTTTTCGCATATTCTTTTCATTTTGTTTCGGGCTGCGCAGATGGCTTCCATTTGAATATCATCTAGTAATGCCGCGGATTGATATGACATGTCTTATTTTTTGCTGATCATGGCGTGTTCCGTGTTCTTGTCTGTGACGAGGCCTCGCAAAGTCAGGTTTCGTGCGGTTGAGGATTCATCCAAAAAGGAAGGCCTTTCCTGGTGTTTAAGCCTGTATATAAGAAGTTCTTTCTTTAATGCCTTTTTAATAAATTTTGATAGAATTGAAGCGTGTTTTTGGATGACTGAAGATCCCTTCGTGGTAAAAGTGACTACTTAGTCGCCGAGGTTGCACTCGGAGTATCTTCTCGTAATGAAAGGTCCCTGGAGCTTCTCGTGAACATGTTGCATGCTTATTCTCAACAAGTCTGTTAGAGTTGCGGTCATGAATAGAAATAAACAGTTATTGTAGAATTCCATTACCTAGATAGAACCTTGTTGAACTACTTACGACGTACTACCATCAATAAGTACTGATGGATCTCCAGAGGTTTGTCTCTGGGGTCGTACGCCATCATCCCGCAAACCCGACCCTCTCATTGGTCCATGCGGCAACCAGGCAAATGATCATAGAATTTTGAACCGCCGCCCGCGTGCCTCCACCGTACCTTAGTGCCCTCTTCATCGCAAATATATATATATATATATCATTATCCAAAACATATATATGAAATATATATATACAGTACAAAGTCTCTACACCCTCCACCGTCTTCCCCCTTTTCATCATTATTACTAGTACTTACATTCTCCCTTTTTTTTTTACCCATAACAACTTCCCCTCATACTCTTAAGAAAAAACCACCAGACAGAAGAAGGGAGGGGATATTAAAAAAAAAAGAAATTGAAGGAAAGAGACGAGGAAGAATGCCCAAGTCCAAGAAAGGCGGGGGCCCATCCCCAGCAGGCCAGCAACAGCAACAACAACAACAACATTCAAAAAAGCATCGCAAAATGTCATCGTTTGCTAAGCTTTCGACTACCACCCCGACGAACTCTGCAAAGCCTAAAGCCGACCACCCCGGCTCGGGTAGTGCTAAAAACAGCAGCAATGATCGGAATATGAAGAAATCACAGCAGCAACAGCAACAGGTCCAGAGGAACCAGCGGCCTATTGTGCCCTTTGGAAGGAAGGATCGGATTTTGTTGGTTGGTGAAGGTGAGTTGGATTCGCCCTTTCTTCCCAATTTACTACTTTTATGTGCCCTTCTTGCGGTTCGATAGATGCACGCATTGCCTTTACAATCTTTGATACTCGCCTTTCTTTATTTTTTTCTTCTTTCCTTCTCTCCGCGCGCGCCTTTCCTCCTCTCCCCCCATCCCCGGCGGAAAGCAGATGCTCAGGGTGTAAGCTCGCGTTGGCCTTTTGTCTACATCCTACTTGCTAATCCCCACCGGGCAAGAGGGGACCTGACCCGGACAACCATGTCATAACGTTGCTTTGTTGGACCGCAGTCCTAACTAGATTGATGTAGGCGACTTCTCCTTTGCTCGCTCATTAGTCCTCCAGCACCGTTGCAAGAATGTCATGGCTACCTGCTATGATTCCAAAGATACGCTCCACAGCAAATACCCCCAAGCGGAAAACAACATTCACGACATACAGTATGCATTTTCCAAGGCGACGACGGGGGAGCATGCTTCGGACAGTAAGGAGAACTCATCCAATGGAGGCGGCACAAGCATTGTTGGAACCAACGCACAAGGGCTCCTTGAAGACCAGGCGCAACGTCGTGGACCCAAAGTCATTTACTCAGTTGACGCCCGAAAACTTGGTCTTCCTGCGGGTGGCGGTAAAGAAATCCGGACGGGCTTTCCACGACAGGAGCGAAAACGCCCGGCCTGGAAAGAAGCAAAGAGCAGCACGCCGTCTGCACCACAAGGTGGGCCGTGGGATGTGATTTGCTTTAACTTTCCCCATGTCGGCGGTATCTCCACCGACGTCAATCGGCAGGTGCGAGCCAACCAGGAACTCTTGGTGGCTTTCTTCAAAGCGTGCGTGCCTTTGTTGTCTCATCAACCCGAGCCTGTAGATAGTGACGATGAAGACGACTGGGACAACTGGGAGGACTCTGACGTTGAGGCAAGCGGGGGTGAAAACGAACATGATGGCAGCGAAGACGGCAACCAACTGCGAACAGCCAATACTACCGGGCAGGCGACATGCCAAAACAGAGTGGAACCAGGTCAGATTCTAGTGTCGATGTTTGAGGGTGAGCCTTACACCCTCTGGAATATTAAAGACCTTGCAAGGCATGCTGGCCTGCGAGTGGTCACCAGTTTTCGATTCCCGTGGGCCTCTTATAAGGAATATTCCCATGCGCGGACACTGGGCGACATTGAAGGAAAGGATGGTGGAAGAGGCGGCTGGAGGGGGGAAGATAGGGACGCGAGAATGTACGTCTTTGAGGTTAAACAGGAAGACCATCCAGTGAAACGGAGGAACGCCCCATCTTCTAAAGCTGGACAGAGTGCGAAAAAGAAGAGGCCGAGAGATGCATCCGACAGTGACGACAGCGAATAAGAAATGCCTGTGCAAATACTCGTTGCAGACAAAGATTCCACTGTCCGTTTCAACCCAGAAGAATGAGATAAGGAGTAGGGCCAGTTGCAGCTGTACATAGCCTTGGTATGCGTTCCTTGTTTACATGATGTAGACTTTCTTCATATCACCCTCATTGAATACTTCACCGGTCGTAGGGTCCTTTACTTTACCTGCCTCAACACATCCGACTTTCTTGCTCATCTCTAACAGCCGTTGCTGACCGTATATCCTGCCATTTGGAAGCACAATCGGGTCGCTTTCAACGTAGCTCTTTGTGTGGTGAGCATATGGCATGTTACGTGCGAGCTCGTTAAGCTCGGTCGAACAAATTGGACAAACAGATGTTGTTGTGGACAGCGAGTTCGAACTGGAGGAGGTATAGGCCGAATGGCACGAAGGAGTCTTGAGAGCCGACAATCCCGCAGACAGAGCGATATGTAACAAAGGGCGAGAAGATAGTGACAAGAGCTCATGGTGAGTGCGGACAAAGAGATCGGAAAGATAAGCCCATCTTTCATGAGCATACATCGACTAAGGGTGAGTCAGTTTGTATAGTCTTCATGAGAGTGTCTCCAATATCCCCGTTACCTTGTACGGCTCAGCTTTGGTGTCCGGAGGAAAAGCGAGAAGTCCTGCAGCTCGATGGATCTCTACCGACTGTGTCTCAAGGTAAGGCGCCAGATATCTTTTGGCGTGAATCATAGCGTCGTTGAATCTCTCTTTATGCCCCGTTCTGACCATTTCAATGTATTGCTGCAATCGGAGTTCGAACTCCAGATTATACTGTAAACCATGGTTAGGCTTGTGTCCTAGCATATAGCTCCGTGATCATTGGTCAATGTTAGACAAACCTGACTCTTCTTCAGCGCTGCTTTATTCTCGCCACACCATTGCAGCGCATCTTTAGTTTCACCAGCGCGTAGGCTCTCGGCAATCCGTTGACACTGTACGAAAACGTTGAGATCAACGAGTTCCTCGATCCCCTTCTCACGGGCTAATTGCTGGGCACTTTTGATATACCCGGAACGTAACATATGATCTACCATGAGCCTGTCCAGTCGAACCCTCGCCCACTGATCGTATTGAACGTCTGCCAAGCTAGGAATCTGGTGAAGTTTCTCCAGGTGCTGGATGCGCTTGCGGGACTGCTCTTGGATTTTTCTTTCCTCCTGATGTAAATTCTCCATTTTCCGTTTCAAGCCTTGCATGCGGGAAATCATAGCGTCGAGCGCAGCAAGAGCTTGGTCAGGCGTTTGCTCATTTGATAGGGATGCATTGGCGGTCTCCTTGAGTGCGGGGATGACGTACTCCTTTTCACGCTCGACGAGGCGCTGAACAGATTTGAAATTTCGACGTGCAAGCTCATGTGGTAACCGTAAGAGAGGCTGGTCCTGCAATCAGACGACCAAGTTAGTATCAGAATGCGAGGGCAAGCCGGCAATAGGTAGAGGGAATAGAGATGAGTACCAATAGCAGATGGTTCTCCGCATTGAGCCGGGTGGATGTAAGTTCCGCAGCCATGGTGATCAAGATACAGCCAGTAATTGAGCTTCTGACTGGGCAGTGACAAGGCTAAGCACGATCAAATGGACGTGAAGTAGACATAAGTGTATGAGGGTTAAGGAATGGGGGAGCAGCAGATGGAAGTTGCCCGACGTGGTTGAAGTAATGCGGGGGACACCGCCTCCGGTCACGGGCCTCCAGTCACGGTACCCTCACCCAACTACGAAGAGGCTCACTTATATTCAAGGACCACGCAGGTGAAAATAGTAATTGAATCGAAAAAAAGACACTGACATACAAGAACCGCAACAAAAATCTCTTTAGTAAATAGATTCCCTTTTCAAACCCAAGACTCCGACACAAAGAAACAAGTATGTTACAGGAATCATACCCAAGCGACGCTCCAACAAGCCGAGACCGATTGAATAGCGGCCGCTCCCCGTTCTGAGGCAGGTAAAGAACTTCCCGGAAGCGTTTAATCACTATCGTCGCTCTCCTCCTTCTCCTGCTTGGACTTCCGGCGCTCCTTCTTTTCCTTCTTCTCCTTCTTCTTGCGCTTGCGCTCGGCCCGTTCCTCAGGCGTCTCACCTTCGTGGCGCTTGCGCTTCTTCTTCTCGTCGTCGTCATCATCAACATCCATCTTGTTGGGAGAAGAAGGGGTTTCCGTTTGCTCGGCAGGAGTGGCAGCATCTTCCTTGACGACGGGTTGAGCCACCTGTGCGCCTTCTTCTTCAGGTGCGCTGTAATCCTTGTAGTCGTTCTTCCATTTAGCAGGCGTAGCCTCGTTAGCACGGCCGTACTTCTGCATTGTTTGTCAGCAAAACCAGCACATAGGTGAGCGTTCCACAAATCCAGAATATAGCTTACATCCAGCTTTCCGGCGGACTTGAGCTTCTTCTTCTCCAAAGCCACAGGCCCCAAACCCCAGCGACGGGGGTACAGGTCGCGTTCCATGATACAACGCTTGACCTTGGCGACAACGCCGTGATCGCAGGTGGACAGCTCGACGGTCGACATTTGAGCGATACCGATGGCAATAGCCTCACCCTTAGTGGTCATGAGGACTACCTCCTCGTTGACCTCAATGCCAGCCTCTTCACCAAAGTCAGCAATTTGAATCGGACCATATGATATGAAGGTAAGATCTTACCGAAGCGGAGGAGACCAGGAACCATCAGCTTAGCACCATAGCATACAGCATTCACAGCGCTATCTTTGACAACAATACGCTTGTACGTGGTGAGGAGAGTCTCCAGAGGCTTGATGACCTTCCTCAAATAAGACTCGTCCCGCTGGTTGTCGTACATCCACTGGGCATCCAAAACGTCATGCAGGGTCACCATTCCACTGTTCTCATCCATGGCACCACTGCGAACACGGCGGAGTTCCTGCATGTGCGCACCAACACCGAGCAGAAGACCCAAGTGGACACAGAGGGTTCTAATGTAGGTTCCGGCTTCACAGCTGACCCAGAAGACACCAAGGTGTCTCTCGTTGTCGAACTCGTACAGCTTGCTTTCGTGGATTGTCCGGATACGAAGCTGACGCTTAACAGCAGAGATCAATGGCGGCCGCTGGAAAAGAGCTCCAGTCAATGTCTCGAGAGCCCGCTTAAACTGGGCCTCGCCACCAGGAATCTTATCATGAAGGCGGATAACGCAAACGTATTCTTTTCCGGCACCCTGTTGGGATTTCACCAGGCGAGTGGCACGGTCAATGCAGACAATCAAGCAACCGGTGACCTTGGGGTCGAGGGTTCCGCTGTGACCAGTCTTCTCCGCCCTTTACAGAACTAGTCTTAGTATCGTCAAGACGAGAAGAGAGCATAATAGAAAATTTACCTCAGGATTCTCTTCATCCAAGCAACAACCTCGTGACTGGAGGGGTTTGAAGGCTTGTCCAGGTTGATGACACCGGAGTTGATGTACGACTTCAGGTCGCGCTTCAAAGGAGTGCTACCAGCGGGGATTGGCGTGAAATGACCGGTCCTGACAAGCACTGATATTATGAATCAGTACCAGCTACATTGATATGTGATATGGCCCTGGAGTGAACGTACGCTTGTCATAATTCTTCAGAAGAAGCGGCCACTCCGACGTGTCAATTTTCGAGGAACTAGCCTCAGGCTTGATTGCGTAGTCCATCTCCTCCTTAGCCACTGCGACCGCCATTTTGAACAGGCTGGCTTGAAGGGTGCAGAGATATCTGGGTTGTTGCGCGCGTTGAGGGAAGGCGCAGGAAAAATTGCACTCTCCGGACTAAGTTTTGTTCTCGCGCTAGCGAGGAAGAAGTCTGGGAAATTTTGCAAGTGCGGCGAAAGCTCCTGCGACTAATCAGGTTAGAGCAGAAATTTTACCCGCCGGCCCAGCATCCCGTGACTTGTCTTTTGTACGTTGCAAATTCCGTATCCGTACATTTCGTTACGTTTTAAAACATGTTCCTTTGAAGGACTGTATCGGAAGTTGACAAATTTCATTACTTTGTCGTATGGAAGTGGTATCGGTCTACCTGTGTTGTGCTTACTTGTAGATCTGCTACCTCTCTTTTATTAACTCATTCTGAGCATCAAAACGACTTCAGATATCTGCAAGAAGCTGACAGTCGTACTTCTTGAGCCCTTGGCTTCAGCATCAAGTTGAATACAATTGTAGTATACATTGCTCGCTTGAGCAGGATTCCCCACTTTAGACTTTGAGCGACTGATCAACCTGGCAGGAACGACATGCCTACTTAGTCACCACCAAGTCTTCTTCCTGGCCCTCTTCTGCTCCAAGGACTCTGAAAGGATGAAGTCCAGCTTCCCGAAGAACCCTGGGTTTGGTCCGTCGCACGATAGGCGGTCCCAAAGGCGCGAGCTTCGCCCCGCGGCTTACGGGCAGCAAAGAACCGCCTCACAAACGCTGGAGTGACGAGGTAATTCTTACCACCTCCGAAAGTTGGATATATACGGGTGAGAAAATCGTAGAAGTGGGCAGCAACTATGCCCATGCCGTCTCTCAATGCCGCAGGCCATCCGGAAACGACCAGCGTTAATGTGAGCATTGCCCAAGGTAAGAACTCAACGGGTATTTGGACGATGAAAAAGCTCGCCTTTTTTCCTCGGTTGTCTTGGGAATACGTGTAAACGAATGCCAGGATCAACGCTGAGTTAAGAAAACATCAGTATGGGCAAGCATAGTTTGGTACCACGGTTAGCTCACCGGAAGTAAAAATTACATTATTCAAAAGACAACCTGCCGTGAGCTTTGGGTTGTCAGTACTGGAAATTCAAGGAGGCTACATTGGAAGGAAGGAAGGGTCTATAAGAATAATGACAAAGCAATAGGATATATAGTTATAGAGATGTAGGGCACCATAACCACCAGTGTGAACCGATTCATCACACTAGCTATCTCACTGGTCGTCCCACCATGCCTACAACGCATATAGCTCCGGTAAAATCAGTTGTGGAGCTATACGGGATGCAGGGGTGATCTCCCTCGTTTCCAGGAACCGCTTCAGCTGATGCTGCGCTGGGCGGGCAGATATACGAGGTGGTAAAAAAACAGAAGAAACAGAAGAACGATAACAATAACGAAGATAGGCGCACAGCAAGACTGCGAGACAACAGGGGTCGAAGTCATCGCTCGCATATGAGACTGGGATGTTCCCACAACTTACCATGATAATGGATGCTACGAAGAACACATAAGTGAAAAAGTCACCAGGTGCGCTGAACCGGGGAGATTCAGTCTCCAGGCGACTGCCATAGGTAAACACTACCGGCAGTTAGCACGCCCGTTCATCAGAACAGCGCAAAAGCCATACTGAAGTATAGATCAAAGATCAGAGAAAGGCCTGGTCCAGTGACCATGAACGGCGAGAACAGCCTCCATATCTCTGGTAGCGTCTTGAAGACAAGGCGGCGAAGGAACAGTACATAGTAACCGCTGAGAAGGCCACCATGTACCAGTATAGACTGTATAAAGGTAAGTGCAGTGAGTGTTCTAAGGGAGAGTCAGTTATGGATCCTGATATCAGACACATGTGATGTGGGAATAGCTCATACCTAGTAACAGGAGGAGCAGCCCAAAACTGGTCCATTGTGATTGCAAGAAGCTGCTATGAAGAGCAGTCACGGTGGTAATCCTGTAAGCCGAGTACAGATACTATTCGAGACACATCATTCAGTGTCACAATAGGGGGCGTGGCATTCAAAGTTGTTTTAACAACTAAGTTGGGGATAATGGAAGAGAAAAAAAAGGACAGAAAGTGAGTTCTTATAGTGTGTGTATTTCCTAGCTCCAGTGCGGCATCTGTTTATCCGTTCCGGCATGTGTGTGACCCACAAGGTTATACCAATTGCGGAAGTTCCTATCATCATTTCTGTACGTAATGATGTCCTGCTGTTTCGGTGCCTGGTTAGTAGAAAACTACCCCGTAGTAAATGAGTGACTGACTATAGCTACCCCAGATTTGAAGCAGAAACGAGCGTAAACGGATTGTCATAGTCATAGATGGGTCCTTGATAGTCCATAAAATGCTCCTGAGATTATGAGTTACTAGTGCTACATGCGAGCTAATTCAACATGCTATGTGTCGCTATATGCCACAATATACCCCTTTCATCAAAGAAGTATCGATTTACTAAGACGTCCCTTTCGACGGCTGTCATTGCCCTAGGACTCAAGTACTATAGTCAGAGTAGTGGTGCCAAGCCGAGTAAGTTCCTGATATATCAGGAGGCTCTCATCTCTATTCGATTTATGGCCTTAGCCGCTTCTTCATCATGATTCGATGAGCCCTACACAGGGCTAGTGAAAGCGGTGCCTCGGACGGCCAGTCGTCCGTCCTTACCCTCAATCCAGACATCCCAGCTTGTGAAGCCCTTTCCCGATTTGGGTTTCCCGCATACTGCTAACTCCTCATCAACATATAGAGGAGCTATGTTCCTATACTCAATGTGTGTGACAGTCAATTGTAACTTACTCAGATGGCCCTGCAGAGCCGTGAGAAGCAACGCCAAAGTCAACGGCCCATGTACAAGAAGGTTGCGATAGCCTTCAACGTCTTGTGTGTAGGCCTTGTCGATATGTATAGAATGAGCGTTGAAAGTAAGAGCCGAGAAGCGGAACAGCAGGGCTTTGTTAGGTATGAGTCTGTGGAGGAAGTATGAACCTGAGGGTGCTACGCGCCACCGAGCACCGTTAGCAAAGATATAGTGACTGGTGATCTTCGAGGTAGCTCGCACATTTTATGGCCCTATTTTCCATGTCAAAACCAGCCTTGTCATGACTTAATTGCTCAGGAGTTTTCTTGCGCATAAACAATAGATTCCTGGTTTCAATGACACAAGCATCGCCAACGTCTTCCTCGGTTTCCTTCCATATCCGCTCTTTAATATCGCGATGGTCTTCGCCCTCTTGAACTGTGCCGATCCGCCTTTCAATCCTGACCATAACCTTTTCTTCGCCTGACCGGCCCTTCATTACCACGTCACGAATTGTTTCGATACAAACGGCTCGGCTGCCATTTAGAACCAGGCCTTTCGGAGTGGATAACCTGACACTTCCACCAGCCCACAAGCGCCTATCAAAGGGACTCCCTGGGGAGTGTAAGGTGTCCGTACCGTCTGGAAGGATCTGCGGCAATGTGACCTGGGGAGGAAAGTAGACTAGGTGGTGGCCTGCTGGCACGGGAAGTCTGCTGTGTGCGGAAGGAAGCTCCTTTGGCGCTGGGGTTAGCGTGGGAAGGAGTTCGGCCAAAGTCAAGCTCAGGAGGTATGACGGCTGGGGATGTAGATAATCAAAAGTCAAGGGGAGCTGTCGTGATGTCAAATCTCGATGTAGCCTTTCGGAAAGAGACGAACATGCACGAGATGAAGCCGGCAGTATCCGCCATTGCTGTTGTTGTTGTTGCTGCTGCTGCCATGAACGCAGTAATAGTCGCATCCGTCTGGTATTCAAATTGAACATGCGCATTTGGTCCAATTGATAAGATGACCAGGCCCTGGTGGACAGAATGAACCATCAAAAACAAACAACTTGGAGATGATTACACGGGCTTAAACGAGTTCAAATTTCGACTAGTTATGTCAGCCGCAGCTGTGGAAAGGAACAACTCACAACCTCTTGGCAGGAGTACAAAATCGTGAGGCAAGCAACTCAAACCCAGTGGATCTCCGAAGTCCTCATAGCGCTGCCATGGAGCCTCTCAAGGTCGCATTCCTCGGCCCTGTCGCGTCATTTTCCCACCAGGTCAGAAATTCATCAGGTTGGACTTCGCAATAGTCCTATTACTAACCAACCTTTTAGGCCGCAGTTGAAAGCTTTGGGTCTGCAGCTGAACTTCTACCCCACGTATCGTTTCCGGACGCTTTTGCAGCATTGCAAGGAGGCAAGGTCGATTATGCTATCATCCCTTGCGAGAACTCAACCAATGGCTCGGTTGTTCAGACTCTAGATCTCTTGGCAGACCCGAGCGGCCTCTACAGTAATGTGAAGGTGTGCGGGGAACATTATCTGACAGTTCACCACTGCCTTCTCACTCGAAAGGGTCTCTTCCCACCTGGCCAGCGAGATTACAGCTCCATCACCAAATTATATACCCACCCGCAGGCTTGGGGCCAGTGTGATACTTTCCTTGAAAAAACTTTTAAAGGCGTCGAAAGACAAGATGTCTCGTCAACCTCCAAGGGCGCTGAGATCGTGTCCAAGGAGACGACAGAGCGATGTGGAGCAATAGCTAGTCGTTTTGCAGCCGAACATCACGGTCTAGATGTATCAGAGGAAAATATCGAAGACAAGGCCAATAACACCACCCGTTTCCTGGTGCTCAGAAATGTGACTTCGGAACGTACAGGTCGGCTGGTCTTCCAATACGCCAACGGTTCCCCAGCGCAGACACAAACTTCTACTACACCAACAGCGCAAAAGACTTTGATCTCATTTATGATTCGTCAGGATTGCCCGGGTGCCTTGGCAGATGCTCTCCTGATTTTCAAGGATCGTGGGATGAATCTGACCAGCATTAATTCGCGACCGAGTCAGATAAAGCCGTGGAAGTACGTATTCCTGGTCGAAGGCCAATACGTTCCAGCAAGTGAAAATGCGGATGCGGTTTTCAAAATCATGGATGGGCTACAACGTGTAACTGAGGGTTGCAGGCATTTGGGAACATGGGCGGATCAGCTCGTATATGTCTAAGTGTCGGTACTGGTGAGGAAGTGCAAGGGGTTCACAAGTGCTTGTAGCCTGCAATAATGCATATAGACATATCAAATCGATACCCGAATAAGAAAATAGGTTATATGGAGCAATTCAATTGCCGTGTAGGCCTCGTGTGTCATGCGCTACCAGATTTACAGGCATCTACAGGACCTGTAGATAACATGAAGAGGAAGCCAGTGTTAGCTTCCTTCCGGTATAAGAAGCAGCGCACTCAAGAAGCAACAATAGAAAAACATAACGAAGAGATCCAGTGCTGACAGGCACTGGAACAAACAGTCTAAACGCGCTAGCCCAAGTGTTATACGATCGACAGCCCTTGGTGAGTTATAGGTTCGACATAACAGATCTATCATCTTTTCGAACTGAAGTATAAAACCTAGTGCCACCCTAGACTGTCTACATAACCTCGGTGAACATGTTAGGGAGCTTGGATGGCCCTGCTGCTATGGTGTCAGCAAGTAACAACAATTGCACAAATAATGGAGCACATACTTCTAAGCAGCTTCATAGGATATTGACTGGGCAACGGCACGGTGTGTACCATTGCGGCCATGTTGCCGGGAGAGCCGCCATCACGAATCACGGGGCGAGCCGTCAGAAGGTCCGAACTGGAAACTTCTGGCCGTTCATCCTCGCTCTCTGCGAGGCCGCGGAACCGTCAATCTATAATAGAGTGGTTAGCACACGAATAGTATCGATATGGAGACAAACGTACCGTCGTAGAATTCATCCTCGTCATCGTAGTCAGCAAGCTGTTCAAAGTTGACCTTGTACCGAAGGATGGCTCCGATACCACCGAAACCCTTGACAAACTGGTTTCCTTCACTGGACTTGTCGGAAACGAACTCCAGGGTTGCTCCAAAGTCCTTGTAGTTTTCAGCAAGCCACTCAAGGAACGACTGCTGCTCGCTAACTTCCATCTCAGTGCCTGTCTCCTTGTCCATGAAGAGTTCCCGGTTCTCTTCCTGTGACTTGGTAGTGTGGATGACGACGTCCGAACCGCTGGAGCTCTTGAGAACGTGCCGAGTGACGTCAAGGTTCTCATAAACGATCAGTGTCTCGGCCGCACCAAGCTCCAAAGCCTTCAATGTATCGTCAATGCCATAACAGACCTTTCCAGTATCCTGACTGATTTCTTCGAAGTACTTTCCGATAAGCTTCTTCTCCTGAACAAACTTAACGTTGCTCAAGGTCTCAGATGCCAGTTCGATAGCCTGGTTAAAACCGTTCTCGCCACCATAAGACACGTCAACAACCTTGATAACCTTAGCCTGCAATCTCTGGTCGAACATATCGGACTGGTTCAGGTCGTTCTTGAAATCGGCAGAACCGGCCAGGATCAATCCTGCAACATTGACCTTGTCGTTGGTGATGTAGTTCTGAACAGCCAACTCAGCAATCTTGCGCACGTAGTTGTGGCGCTTCTCCTCACGAAGACGAGCGAAACGCAATGCTGATTGACCACCACGGCCGTGCTTTTTAGGCAGATCAACGCTCAACTTCTGTAGAATTTCTCTGGTGTTGCCGCTCAGGGTGCCGAACAGAGCACCGTTTCCATCCATGACGATGAAACCAAACTTCTGATCGGATTCGAGAAGTTCACTGAGAGCCTCAGTGTGGAACTTGTTGTCACAGAGATACAACGAGGTGTTAATTGGCTTGAAAGGCTCGAAATCGATGTTGATCTTGCGCTCCTTTCCTTCAGAGGTGATGATTTCACCGCAATAAACCACTAGACCGTTCGGAGGCACCTTGTTGTAGAGCTTGAGGCGTTGCTGTGTCGAAGTGATAGCGGAAAGGACGGAAAGACGGTTGACACGAGACTTGATATTGGACGCAGTGCCCTGTAATATGTGATTAGCAGACTGGCCGTGTCTCTCTCGGTCAAACCACTTACAAACTCTTCCGCCAACATCTTTGCTGCTCTAGAAATCTGATCCTTGGGGGCTGCAAAGAAGATCCGATAATTAGAAAGTAATTCTAGCGACGAGTCGACTGGACGGAAGACGTACGAATGATAAGAGAGATCATGGAGGTTCCGTTTCCTCGAGCGGCCTCAAGCCGCTTGATGAGTTTCTTCACCTTCCATATCTCGATGTTCTTCTCCGCTTCGTTCGGCTGAGCCGCGCTCATGTTGGGCGAGGCAACAATATGATACGACCAGAAGACGTTAAGTGTGTGGCTTGCTGGTGCTAGAATACAGACTGTTAGCGGCAAGACGTCTCTTTAAGAGTGCAAAGAAAAAGCGAACTGAGGTTACAAGGGGATCTATGAAGAGTAGGCAACCTCAAAGACAAAAGGTGAACGGGAAAGAGACGATCAAGTCACATACCTCACGGCTGGTCGATTTGCCGTCCAAGTCCAGCGGGGTGTTTAAGCAATTTTCATCAGGCACCGTGGGGGGGCGGCCGACGACACAAGGAACGAACGAATGGGCCGGCGGTCGCCTGTTTACGATGACATAAGCTGGAACTCGCACAAGGGTGATCAATTAATACCACAACGCTTGTTTAGAAGCAATGTGATCCATATTGATAGATTGTATATAAATGCGAAAGAGAGTCGCATCTGAGGCCTCTACATTTGCATCATTTTCAAGCTTATCGATCTTACTTAACATTGCGACCGCAAGGCTTCAAAGATCAATGAGATGGACCCGGAGTGCGGTTCCTGGAAATACCATACTTCCGTCATCCTGTAAACGACCCAACGCTTGCGAGTCAATTCAATCAGCGAACTGCATTGCTTGTTCCATACGAACCCTTTCTAAATGGGGCCTTTTTTAATGAAGAGCATTTCTTATCAAGTCCTTGAGTGCTAAGAACGTTAGTTGGGGCGTGCTACCTACATAGCATCTCTGATGGCTGAATTTATACCAATCAATACGAACGGTACTACGGAGTACTTCCCACGTAACCTTCTTCGTTGATGATCCTATCGACTAACTAGATCAACTCATTATCATCCTTCATATGTGGCACAACCTAGCGTGAGTCTGGGTCTTTGATGTTGGTCATCTCTCTAAACATCAGTGGTCATTACACTCTGCGATCGGTTTCAACATGTCACCATCCGCTTCAACGGTCTTAAACAAGAATCGTAAGTTTTTTGTCGGGGACTTCGAAGCATAAGTCTTAACACTATCCCGAGAACATGCAAGAATGAAACCGTCCATGTTATCGCAGGCTGAACCACCCCGTCTGGAGTACATAAATCAATGTGGTGAACCAAATGCTATTAATGGCTTATCAATAACAAGGAGAACTATCTACAAAAGCTGGTTGGAACTCCATGTACCTGTGCAGTATTAGTTCCAAGAAGAACCCCACATTCGCTCCCGAAATTCGCAGAAGCTCCCGAGGGTCCTTTTCTATCATGGAATAATTTCTCATTGGACTTACCAATCAAGATTTCTACCCTTGCCTTTCTCGGAGATAACCTGTTTGTATCCGTTAGGTAGACTACGGAGTGCTACATCACTACACGCTTATCTTTGTCCTGGACATCGTGCAAGCTGATCTTGTGGCTGCGCCTATAAGAAATTGCTGATAGTGACGGCCATTCCACTCACACGCTGAGTTTACTAGTATCCGCCACCAAAAGTGACGCCCTAATATTACTTCGCTGAAAGCTGATTTGTCTCCTCAACAGCCTTGATTGTACTTATTGCCTTCAATAAATAGACTCGGTCTTTCCAAGGTTTTCTTTCCTCGATCGCTCTTTCCCTGACATCTTTTCATCTATTTATTTATTTCTCTTCTTTTCTCTTTTTCTTTACCCCTTTGCGAAAGTCGATCAAGCAGCAAGTAGCTTGATTCACGACCGGAAGCTTCTGTCCCCTGGCCAGGGACTTTAAAGGAATCATACACAATGCCTGAATCCACAATTCCGGCAGCTGCGGGTGCCCAGGCTTTTAGCTCACATAGGCCGATTGCGCCTGGTAGGCCGAGCGCTGATTCTGCAATTGAGTCTGATGTATATCCTTATGGGCTTGCAACCAGCAGTGGCAGCTATTCGAGAGTAGAAGATAGCTATCCGAGGCCAAGGTAAGTCGCCTACTCATCATGAACTCACATAAAATATTAGCCTCGGTTTAACTATGTCTTGTGCTACACAGATCAGCCTCCTTCTCCGCGCGGTTCAGACAGGCAGGCGGGGTCAATAGCATTGACAACTTTGCTCGCTCGTGGCAGCGAGCTGCATATTTTCCAGAAGTCTTACCTCGACGATCGTCGTTTGTGATAGACTCTGACGAAGAATGGGCTGGGAATACAAACGACATTTTCAGGCCACAAGATTACGCGGGACATGATGCCGACATTACACGTCCCTTATTGGGTGCTGATGGAGAAAATGAAGACAATGCCTTGGCCGGCCAGCTGGATCTGAGAAAAAGGACATCGAATGCAGACATTTTTGAACCATCACTGGGGGGTTCGTACGGAACGATTTCTTCCCGCGTTAGTGCATCGGCACGGAAGCATGCGATCCAATTGCACAGAGAGCAACAAAGTCATGGTGATACATCTGTGGGCTACGAAAGGGAACCGGTCCTTGTAAAGCAGGTGCATCATGAAGACGGTACGAGAGAGTGCATCGTTGTCGGCCAATCTACGGTTCCACAGACAATCTTCAATTCCGTCAACGTTTTAATCGGTGTTGGTTTGTTGAGCTTGCCACTCGCTCTGAAGCATGCTGGCTGGCTTCTTGGCCTGCTATTTCTGCTATTTGCTGCAGTGGCCACAAATTACACGGCAAAGATCCTTGCAAAGTGTCTTGATGCTGATCGGAGTATAGTCACTTACGCAGATCTAGCATACGTTAGCTTCGGTCACCACGCACGCTTAGCGACAAGTCTCTTGTTCTGCTTGGAACTAGTTGGGGCTTGTGTTGCACTGGTTGTGCTTTTTGCGGACAGTTTGCAAGCTCTCATCCCGGGCTTGAGCCTTCTTCAGTGGAAAATAGTATGCGGACTTTTGCTTGTTCCCCTCAACTTTTTACCATTGCGACTTCTTAGCGTGACAAGTATACTCGGCATACTTTCTTGTACCTCTAGTATGTGTACCTTCTTTCAGAGCTCAAGTGTATTTTCGAGAAGCTAACATTTGTCGAAGTCGTCATCATCACTTGTATTGACGGGCTTACGAAACCAACCGCCCCGGGATCTCTCCTTCAGCCAGCCAGGACGTATTTATTGCCTGACAATTGGGCTTCTCTTCCTCTTAGCTTTGGGCTGATAATGTGTAAGTCTATTCACTCGCTAGGGGTAGCTTAGGAGAAGGCGCTGATGTTCAGATAAGCACCATGGGGTGGCCACGGCGTATTCCCTAATATATACCGCGATATGCGGCATCCACAGAAGTACGGCAAGAGTCTGTGGGTCACTTATGTTTTTACGGTAAGCGGGTTTCGGCAGCATCTTGAAGAGCATATGCAGAGAAAAATCGTGCATATTGCTCAACGAACAGGGGATAATGTTCTCGGGTGCTAATCGAAATATTCGTCCTAGTATTCTCTTGACTGCACGATGGCCATAGTGGGCTGGATCATGTTTGGAGACGATGTTCGAGATGAAGTCACTGCCAACATCCTACGTACAGAGGAATATTCGCAGGTATTGTCTATCTGCATGATCATGTTCATCGCCATCATTCCAATCACTAAAGTACCATTGAAGTGAGTCATGCTTCACGTTGTTGTTTTCGGGGGGAGATATGGATTGTTGATTGACAAATGTAGCTGCCGGCCGCTCGTGGCCACAGTCGAAGTCCTCTGTGGACTTGGGTCACACCCTGAACTTCAGACAGATCCCAAGAGCACAAAAGCCATGGTTCAGAATCTTTCAAGAACCTTAATACGCATCCTTGTCGTGGTCAGCATTGTTATCATGGCAGTGCTATTCCCTTCGTTTGACCGAATTATGGCGCTGATGGGATCAGCTTTATGTTTCACGATCTGCATCATATTGCCGGTTGCCTTCCACCTGAAAATTTTTGGCAACGAGATAAGTCCAAGAGAACGGATACTGGACTGGTGCCTTTTGATAACTTCCTCGATATTGGCTTTGATTGGGACTGCATGGTCCATTCTGCCGCAGGATGCTATCTCAGCACTATGAATGTGCGGATAACAACGCTTTCTTGTTGTTCCCATGCGACACTAGTATCACTTGACGATAATTGAAAAATTGTTCCTTGTTTTTCCAGGGTTCAAGATTTCCTTTTTGAAGGGTTTGGCGTTGTAGTCGCCAACTTGATCCCACAGTTGGAATATCAGCTTGGATGTCTGCTTGGTCTTAGCCAACGCAAAGCCCATACTAGACATTATGTCTTGCAACCTGCTTTCGGTGAGGTAGCGCGAATTGGTAACGCAGGAGACTGGCAGAACCAGAAACAGGCTTGGGGTGACATCAAGAGAAGATCCGGAGGGGGGTGATGTGGTCAAGAAGGATATACAGCGCTTCAACATTTCACCCCGACCGGCGGCATCTGGAACATAGTTGAGGACCAAGGAGAGACTGATGATATGGAACCTATCAGACTCGTTTTGGGGAAGCGGCCTTTTCATGAAGTCCTGTTTCAAGATTCCCGGTTCTTGAGAATTCAGATCTATCCTAGTAACATCCAGTAACTTGTTCATTGAACAAGCGTTCTTCGTGCTTAGAGCTCCAATCTCGAGTACTCGGAGCTTGTAGGGCGTATTTGCTATTGGCAGTAACCGAGGAGCTATCCAATCAACCAAGACCTTGCTAGAGTCGCCTCCACGATCTAGAGACTGGCCAAGTTTGCTTGCGAGCTGGTAGCTTTCCAAGCCACCATTTTCCCGGATCTGCGCTTCGATCTTTCCGACTAAAACATCATCACCGGCCCGTACAGCTTGGGCATGCGCTTTGAGTAGTCGATGGTGTGATCGAATGAGATTTCGAGTAGCTTTCGCCGACAAGGCCGCATGCTTTGCCCGGACAGTTGGTGGGCGAGTGCGGGACAGAAGAGCAGGTCTTTTTCTCCGTTGTTTGTTAGAAGGCCCCATGTCTCGGCCTAGTAATACTTCTTCCCTGGCAGTCCCCTGGCGTTTGAGTCGAAGTGTCTGCGCAGGCAACAGCCATCAATTGTGCTCGTTCAATTATTGTCGGAATCATTGATGGCTTCGTACATGTGAGAAACCGCTTGTTCTTCACGTGACCGTAACGGATACACTATGCCGAAAGAAGACAAACTCGACAGACTAGCCCGTTCGAGTTGTGGTCGCCAAGAGATCCAAACCATCCGACACGGAGGGCTGGTCAGGTGACCCACAGAGTCAACCGTAGGGTTTTCATTAAGCGAATACCTTCCAAATAATTCGACACTCGACACTGCGACAATCAACACGACAGCGCCGGACGATAGCCATGGCTCCCAAGGTGGATAACAAGCAAGGTAGGCATCATTTGTGCGATTCATCCGTCTTCTTGAAATTTGCAGATTTGTTCTTGTCGGAATCTCGGTTTTGTGAGCCTCGAATGGCATCTACATGTGGCGGTACTCCGGGGGATAAAGCCCTCTCAGCACGATCGAAAAAAAAAAAAAAAAGAGGCATTTCCGATGAACGATTCGAGCCCTGTGTTTCCCCCGCTATTGTCAACCTGCATGGATTTTGTGATTTCGAACGAGCGATCGGCTATATTTTATTTTGAAGTGACGGACGGGCTGACATTCTGGATCTATAGGCAAGACCAAGCCCAGCGACAAGGCTGGTGCTGCCGCCAAGGCAGTCATTAAGGGTGCTGGTGTACGTTCTCACAAGGCTTCAAATCCGCCCATGTTCTGCTCGGTACTAAATATCATTTGATTCTCCAGGCGCACAAGTCTCGTAAGGTCCGCACCTCTACGACCTTCCACCGCCCCAAGACCCTTCAGCTTTCCCGGTCGCCCAAGTACCCCCGCAAGTCGATCCCCCATGTCCCTCGCCTCGATGCGCACAAGGTCGTCCTCTACCCTCTCAACACCGAGAGCGCCATGAAGAAGATCGAGGAGAACAACACCCTGGTCTTCATCGTCGATGTCAAGTCCAACAAGCGCCAGATCAAGCTCGCCCTCAAGAAGCTGTACGACGTTGACACCGTCAAGGTCAACACCCTCGTCAGGTACGACGACCTATCTCATAATCATTGACTTACTACCGAGTTCGGGATATCTAACTTGTCTTTAGACCCGATGGACTGAAGAAGGCCTACGCCCGTCTAACCCCTGACGTTGATGCTCTGGACATCGCTGCCACCAAGCTTGCCATCGTCTAGATATTTTTCATTTAGGGTTTGGGTGAATTTTTATTTTGCGCGGTGGTTCATAAATATCAGTCATAAAGTTAGCTGCCAATGCTTGAATGAGGGCTGAATGATCGTTTCCAAAAAAGAAGAGGGAATTACTCGAATGCATGAATACCACGAATAAATCTGGTTCTAGGCTCCGTAGATCTTAAACCATTGCCGCGGACTCCTAGGCTACTTGCCTATCCTAGGCCTAGTGTTTAGTTAAGAGGGTACAAATCTATGTATGTCACAGTATTACATGCGCAAGCCACCAGAGCTGAAAAGTGAACCTCCGACACACTCACAGTGCTATTCCATGTGGCAAAGCCAGCACGTCCTTCTATTGATATGATTGATATAATACATGAGGTACCCGTTTACATGCAGGGTGACGGCAGACGTGCTCTATGCATGAGCCCGCTGCTTTTCGTTGAAAAAGTAGAAGACAAGAATTATACATCTTATCCACGAAGAGCTTCGAGATGCTTCAGGATCGCAAGGTTCGAATCCATCCACCGCTCAACGCAGTTCTGCGCGCATGTTTCCTCGGTTTGTTCCAGGCGACCTGATGAGATCTTTCCCGCGATACATTTCTTCCAGCAAATATCGGACAACGAATGGACGGCTATATGACGACCATTAGCAAATTTGTTGCCCCGTAAAATCGCAGGACAGGGACGAGTCGGCTCAAAAGATAGCGACTCAGGCATAGTGACTCACTTTGCTGCATCGTAGCCTTTTGTTGCTCGTTTGCCAACATTTGGCTCAGTTCGTTCTTGTCGGCATCATTCAGCTTGCTAATATCGACCTGAGTCTGTGCGTCCATGGTGAAGATGGATTTCTGTAAAAAGAACCGGAAAGGTAGGTTTTAATGATGAATGTTGTTTTAGGAACGGATCGCGAGTATGCTAAGTACAGGTCCTGAGTAGGAGATGGGATGGTTTGCTGGTTGGTCTCTGACGATGCTCAACCATCGGAATCAAACGCCTAGAAGAATTAAAGGCGGTGTGCCATGGCAGATGCGGCCGCAAGCTCGTCGCGCCCGCCGCTCGAACGCATCTATCTATTGTGGAGCAAATCATTCTTTGGGCTGCGGAAAATCAACAGAGTTTCGGTGTTTTGTTTCGCAATACTCACTCCTGTCCCTCTTTTGATCAATCACGCAAAACCGTCGTTCTTCTTGTCTCGTTGGCTACGTATCCAAAGATGCCCCCGGTACGGACCTCGCGCAATCGCAAACCGCCCCCGGCAGGCTTCGATGATATAGAGGATACACTGCTGGAGTTCAGCAATAAGATGAAAGATGCGGAGAATGCATCGCATGACGGGAAAAAGAAGCACGAGATGCTGTGGCCCATATTCCAGATCAGCCACCAGAGTAAGTGGTCTTTCGTCGAACTCATATATTCCAGTTGTCGACCGCTCAAAGTCACTCATAGTATGACACATAGGGTCCAGATACGTATATGACTTGTATTACGAAAAAGAAGCCATATCAAAACAGCTGTACGAATGGCTTTTGAAGAACAACTATGCGGACGCCAACTTGATCGCTAAATGGAAAAAGCAAGGCTACGAAAAGGTTACTATCTACCCGTTTTCTACTTATGCTCTTCCTTATGTCTCCTCCTTCTGTCATTATCCAAGCGAGTCACCATGGATTTCGCTTACCAAGACCTGGATTAAGATCAATCTACTAACACGTGCCATGTCTTCATTACAGTTATGCTGCCTCCGGTGCATCCAGACGAAGGAAACGAATTTCAATGCAACTTGTATCTGTCGGGTACCTAAGGCGCAGCTCAAAGAGGATCAAACAATCCAATGTGTTAGCTGTGGGTGTCGCGGTTGTGCTAGCAGCGACTAGCCACATCTCGAAAACAAAATTTCTTTTTCTGTATTTTAGCGTATCCGGGTTTCGTCAAAATCAGTTGAGAGGCACAGGTCATGCAGGTTAGACCTTTCTTTGGTACGGCGTTAGGTTAGGAATTGAGACCTCAGATATCTTTTCCTTCCATGTACTGTTTCCTCGTACGCTGCCCTTCGAACATCTTTTCCGTTTCTGCTTCGCGCATCAGTCGACACCGACTTACTAGGCTCTGTTCATAATTCAGAGAACATACCTAAAGTTCTTATTACAGTTTATGGAACTAAAAAGTAACACGCTTCTACGCTCTTTTACACTTCAGAAAATACATAAACAATGCAACTGTGCGCTCTTGTAGTGGAAACTAACTAGAATATGTGCTCGGTAAATCACTCAAACAATCCGGGACGCAAGCAAAGAAAAGTAAAACGACACGCAAGCGAAAAAGCAGAAACTCGAGTTCGTTTAGACATCACATACTCATGTACATCTTACCAAATGTCGTCATAAAGGTCGTAACAAGGTCATTCCAGGTCCGGTATATGTCATAACCGACTACCACCCTTTCAAAACTCCAGCAACCTCATCTGCTCAGAAATGAAACAATCACACCCAGATTAAATGCGCCTCCCCTATCCCCAAAAAAACCCGTTGTCTACCAGCTGGATAGGACAATTTGCCAATTTAGTACGCCATCAAGAAAGAAAATGCAAATCTCCCGAGGCGCTCGCTGCGCATTATTGTTTTGTTTGGCTTCATTTTTAACTTCATCATCCAAACCCCCAAGCTCCTGGCTTTAGAACAGTGTATTGCTCCGATGATTGCACGAAGGCCTCGGTGGGTATGACTTCGATCTCGACGGTTCTTCCTTGCTCATACCCCCGATCTTCTGGAATCCCTGCAAGATATCCACGCCATCTATTTCTGTCGGACTTTCATCAAACAGATGAAACGAAAAGAAATCTTCATGTGAAGAGTCCAGATAACGTGCTGAGTCAGTCACTTTGGAAGGCGACTCGGGGAAAAGAAGGCCTTTAGCTTTAGTCGATGATTGCAACGATTGCACCCCTAGCCTGTTGTTGGCATTCAATGACGTGATATCTGCCAGTATATTGCCATTTGATCCGCCAGCGTCTGTTCGAGTACGCTTAATAGACCGCTTCTCTGGCGAGCCGTATGCTGGGTTTGAAATATTATCCGAAACAGGATCCGCAAAGACATCGAAGCCAGTGTGGAGATTTTCGCTCGGCGTGAACGTTTCGTCTTGAATATTAAAAGCTGGACTCCACGGAAGATCCTCATCGTTGAGTCCCAAATGTTTTATCGGGGAGTTGACCATATGTTGAATCTTTTTGCGATGGTTCCGTAGATTCGTGTTTGGTGATACTGAAGGTGGTGGCTTAGCGGGTTTCTTAAATTTGATGACCGGCGTGATAGGAGGGGGTAGCATGCTGATATATTCCCCACGGAGGGGCGATGAACCAAGAACTAATCCTGAGTCCTTCAAGATGCCACAGTGACTTGGGCTAATGTCATGTGACGAACTTCGAATTCGAGCTATCTCTTCCTCTGCCCGACCACGCTTGATTCGTGGAGGGTCTATGTCCAGATCCGAAGTCAGAATATGCCCAGCTTTGTTTGGTCGCAAAGCTGAGGACTCTAGCGACGAGAAGTATCCGCTGTCATTCACTGCAGTTTGTTTTCTTTTATTGGTGATGGAAACGATTCCCGAAGTGATGGTTTGAGAAGGCGTTGGAGGGGTTCCTTGTCGAGTGTAACGAGGGGGTACAACGGGTGGTGACGAATGTATGGGTTGGAGTGGTGACGACCGATGTCCAAGAGTCTGTAGCACAGTGCGATTGGTATGTTCGTCACTCGTGTCTTCTTGGAGAGCAGGGTCAGAAGCGGGGAGGGTGGCATCGGAAGACAGATCCACAGGCTTCGAATGTTTTCCTGTCGGCTGATATGGGGGCGGCGGGACTGCCCAAGTAGTAGTACTTGAGTTATGTGGACGCGCTGTGTCCTTCTGCGGCGCGGCTGGAAGAGGAAGGCTGGACATCGTTGCGCGGCGCAGTGGCTTGTCTTTGAGAAACTGAGCTTCCATTCCAGGTTCAATGGCCCAGTAGTTGCCTTTCCCTGGATCATCCTTAGGTCTTTCCTGCTTGATAAATGCTTTATTCAGGCTGAGATTGTGCCGAATGCTGTTCTGCCAACCTGGGTCACTATTTTTGTAATACGAAAACGTATCCGAGATCCACTTGTATATTTGCGCTAAAGTCAATCGCCTGTTCGGCGCACGAAGTATAGACATGCCAATCAGCGTCGCATAGCTATAAGGCGGCTTTGTGCCATCGTCTTCTATCGGGGGCATCTCATGAGGTTCCGGCAAGCGCATAGAACTAGGTTCCTCCCGCTTCTGCTTTTTTGTTTGTCGTTCCTTTAGTGGTGCCGCGTCCATCAGTGTCCTCTTCACAGGTTTCGGTATGAATGAGGGTTCAGGGAAGTCTGCAAAATTATCGCTGTTGGGTTCATCTGATGACTGCGCCTCCTTCGGTGAGAGTTTCCCTGAACTGGAAGTGGAGAATGTCGTGAATAACGCGGATTGGGGCATTGAAGAGGAAGAAGCAGCGGTGTGGTGGTATCCGAATGAGGGTTGTTTGGAAGGAGAATCTGTAGTGAATTCTGGAGCTGGGGGAGCCGTAATGGGGACAAATCCTAGATTTCCATGTCCAGAAAATAGGCCACTTGAGCTGCGAGCAACTTTTGCCGGCGAAGCCTTGTGCGTCGTAGAAGTGGTCGCATTTAGAAATTGATCTTTCGCCGACGACACATGCTCACCGGGCTGCAGAGGTAAAGGTGAGGGCTCTAAGCGGGGGCGTGGCTTGGAAATCGCTTTTCCACAAGAAGGCCGTGAGGTTACCGGCGCAGAACGTGTCGGGCTCATACTGCACGATCTATGCCCTGTACCTTGGTGTCAAGGGACGTTCGACGCGGAGCAAACTTCCGCACACCGTGTATGGCAACAGGGCAAAGCTTCGGGTCACCTTGAGCTCTAGCAAGGTACCCGCAGAGCAATGAACGAGGGAGCACGCCTTGCTGGGATGATTGGACAAAATCTGGGTGGCAAAGTTCCAGATCGCAGTGCGAAATACGATGATGGTCAGAATATCAAGCGCGTAAGAGCGCGATGCAAAGGCAGTAATTTAGAGACAAGGACACAGAGGGCCTAGAGAAATGGCCTTTGTCATACAAGGCGTGAAACTTGATGTGGTTATCTGAACAAAGATGTAGCCAAAAGCAGGCTGCCTTTGGAAGGGTGTGGTACGTTGAGTAGGCGCGAAGTAGATGATGTATGTTGGATGGTGAGATCGAGAACAGAGCGATGGAGCAAGTGGGTTATCGAAGGAAAGAGTCCCAGAACATAGGCGGCAAGACGGCTCGACTAAGTTCAAATCCCTTTGTCCGGTAAGGTCCATCCAGGTAAGGTGGGGAGATATGCGCAAGATATTTTGTGAATAATTCCTTAGTTGAGTGAAGAATGAGAGAACGAAGAAAGACAGGCTGCACCTGTTGATTGCCCACGCGCCTCGTCGGGCCTGTATGGTATGGTTATGGCGCGTGCGCGTCACGCGTCGGGCAGCCTCTGGACCCTCAAGCTACCCTCGGGTGGCCATCAGGCATGAGAGGCAGATATTACACGTATTGTCATAAGTAAATTACCATTTACTTCGTGTGTGCAATTTTGTCTTCTTGTGCTTCGTACCGCATACATAAATGTCGATGGTAATACCAATCCCTGGCCCCCCCTCCTCCCTTACTAGCCTAGCACAGACTGAGTAGGCATGCGGGTCCCTTGATGCTGCCCAGTGAACAGTATCGACGCTACATCTGTTAGACCCATGGGGATACATCCCTTGCTCAAACCCACCCAATCAGCCGCCGAATTTTGCAGATCATGGGTCCCTTGGTCAATTGATGAAAGCAGTCTGGACTCTGGTGGCATGCACTTCATATATTATTATAAATTCCCAGCCTACCAAATACAGTCTAGGCTACCGAACACAGTCCTACTCATTCGTTGTGAAAATTGTAACTGATGAGGATATTGTATCCACACTCCCACCCTTCCAGAAGCACTTAGGCTAGGAATTACTTTGCTACTACAAACATTCTCCGACTTTACGATGATACCAGTACTAGCGACTATGGCCCTAGCTTCGTTGGAACCCTGTTCACAATCTAAGTAAAGCTACTGAACTCTTTTAACAGCACACACAAGCCACATGAACAATTTATGCCATCCAGGGATGATTACTTCACCTCCCTCCCAAAAGATGCAGCGAATACCGAGCTAGGGACTCGCAATAATGCGGCTTGTCTAAGACAATGCAGCGACCACTTACTGCTGTGAGCCATGCATGCACTTGGAGGTTCTGAATTGCTTGCTCCCCGCCCCCACCCATTCGTTTTTCCATTTCTTTACATTTTCTTATCAAAGCTTTAGGTACTGTGAATCGATCTCGCTATATAATAGCCACAACACCCGCGGAGCTAGAAGTAAGTCAAGCTAAGAGTGCCATGGTGGCGCAAGGTTTGACCCTACTCATTCGTAAGTCAGCATCTAGATTGTTTTTATACTCTATGGGAGCGCCATCTGAACATCTGAACTGTACACATGTTAGCATACCCTCGAAGGGGGCGTGATTACGCAATGTGTCCAGTCAAACACCCTTGAGACTAATTCGGCATTACCCACCTAGTTAATGTATTGCTAACTATCTTTAAAATTACATAATCAATCTGTATATGTGTGTTGTAACACGCATGATTTGCTCCTACTCTTATATCCAAGGATCTACTCCGTACTACTGTATCCACTACTATGTCATCACATATTCTTTTCCTTGTGCGAGGTTGTTGTTGAGCAATGTTAGAAATAAACCTCGCATGCACCGTTGTGAACATGGCTTTTGTTGGACCTGCAGGAACTATGCATATACTAATCATTACTGTAAGCAAAATTTAATCCGGACCTCACCTTATAAGCCTTTCTGACCGATAGATATTCAGCAATGTGATTAATATGTCGAAAGAAGCTTAGGAAGCATTCCTAGGGCATAGTGGAAAAAGGTCTTGTAAGAAAATGAAGCTCTATAATAGACAATAAAGACAGGTAAATCAGAAAATGTATAATGATAAGCCAACCCCAGTAGACCAGAGAAAATGAAATTGACGCCGATGCATGAACAACCTGAGACGTGCCTGAAAAGCCAAGAATCTATCTGCATTAGACGAACCTGCAACCAAAGGAAGATCGAAAGAATATAGAAAGGAAGAAAAGAAGCATCAACTACACAGCTGTTTATATGCACGTGACTCTTGTAGTTTGGGGAGACATGAGGGAGACATAAGGATGATAATGGACATCATAGCGTTAGAGGCGGACACAATATCTGGAAGGTAGCGTGACGCAAATGTATAAGGGAACACAAAGAGCACTTTTCAGTCCAAGAACGTGAACATGCTGGTGTGGATGATATTTAGGGCACGATCAGCATCTCTCTCTTCTATGACACACGAGATGTTGATCTCACTTGCACCTTCAGGGCGGTATATCGTCAGTCAGTGTTCAAGACGCACAGGTGAAAGCGAGACTTACCCTGGGAAATCATCTCTATATTGACGTTGTTCTCACCTAGGGTAGAAAACATGCGGCCAGCTACTCCGATCATATTTTTCATCTGTTTGCCGACAAGACTAAGGATTGCCATCTCGGGGATGATATCAACCGTACCATATCTCTGCAGGTCGCGCAAAGCACCTTTGAGATCTTCATCAATGACCTGATATTCATCCCTCCCGACTCCATTTAGGAGAGGCATTTCCGAATGAAGAGCCATCGAGACATGAACCTCACTTGTAGATATCAAATCGATTGAAAGTCTCCACCTGTCGAGGACGGAGAATATCCCAGCGAAGAATCCATGTGAGAGCGAACGTTTGTTGGAATGTACATTAATCACCAATATCTTGTGCTTGATCGTGACCGCCGTTGGGCGTTTAGGCCGCTGCACAAGACTAGGGCTGCGGGTACGGAATAGTCTCGGATCATGGCCTGGGGTTGTCTTCTCCAATTCGAAAGTGGAGTCTGGAAAGATCACGGTGCCATCACCTCTGGGGTTCATAACATTTTTTATGCGAATTGGAATCTTGGCACGGATGACTTGCTCCATAGTGAAGGGATGAATCACCTCCGAACCATAGAATGTCAATTCAGCTGCCTCAGCTGGCGTGATTGCAGGTAAAAGGCGTGCAGTGGGCACTTTCCGGGGATCTGCGGTGAATATTCCATCAACCTCTTTCCAGACTTGGAGTTCCTTGGCATCTATTCCAACAGCAACGAGGGCGGCGCAGAGATCAGTATAACCGCGGCCAATCTGATCGAGAAGGCCCCCAGGTACGGTTCCGAAAAAACCAGTAACAACTGGCACTTTGTTCTCACAGGCCCGAATCTTTCGGCCAAGAGCTGCAGCGAGATTATTGTAGAAGTCCTGGTCGAGACCCTGATTCGAGATAGGAAAATCGATGACCTCAGCTAGGTCCACGTACTGTGAATCCACCCCGCGGTCTTGAATATAAGCGGCCATCAGGCGACAACTCAACTTTTCTCCTGTACTAATCACTTTATCCACGCATCGTGCGCTTATTTCTCCTAGTGTTTGTGCAGCCTCCAGGACTCGAAGTACTTTGTCGCATTCGTTGTTTATCTCTGAAATGAGCCGGGACTTGAGTACCTTGGACTGGATTTGTTCATCAACGACCTGGATATGTTCGAGCCGGACTGCCTCAACAAGGGAAGCATATTCTTGTGATAGAGCGTCTTCCGCATCCCGAGCTGCTCGCAAAAGGCTGCGTTATATAGTGGGTTAGTCCGAACGGTAAATCTATTCTAACAGGATCTGGAAGTCGTGAAGACATTGCGGAGAGGGGCTGGACAGTCTATGAAAAGACCTCTTGGGATTTGGAACACAGAGGTTATGACTCACCGGTTTGTGGTTCCTGCAGCCTTCGTTGAACTACTCCTTGCCGAACAAACTATAGCAACGCGGTGTTCGAGTAGACTTGGTCTGGTTCGAAGCCGTTGTTAGCAAATACAACGAAAGTTAGGGAAGAATTCAGAGGGCGAATATACTCACAATACCACTTGGTCAATGATGTTCAATGCGAATTTCCCAACACTGGTACCTCCAAACTTCTGCACAACCCAATTGCTATCGGGCGAGTCTTTTGACTCACTCCTGGCAACTTTTAAAAGATCCTTCTGGTTTTGCTGATGATTATCCATCTTTGGGTCGCTCGAACAGCACGTTGAAGCCTTGCAATTGAGAGATGACACACCCACGCAATTGGCTCCGGTAGCGGGACAGCCTTTTTTATGTGCACTGGCGGGGTTGCGAAAGCGGAGCTCATGCCGATGAAATGTAGAACGAATGGTCGTTCGCCATTTTGTTTCTCCGCCTTCCATTTGCGGGTACGCATTATCAGAATTCAATGATTACTAATTGAAGATAAACGTTGAGTCAAAGAACAAAGGTACTAACTCATGTACCAAAGCAGTGTAGTTCTTCTCGAGTTTGCATACGCCCCGTTTCATAAGTAGTCTACCATCCACAACCATGTATTCTCATTCAAAGAGATGATAAATTGGTCTCAAACAGAAAAAATTTTGATTTCCTCGATTGGACCACTTGGTGCTATGTTAGACTATCATGTTTTTATATGAATAACTGTATTAGACATCTTATCTCGCTGGCCATTTTCAGCCATAAATACAAAAGCTTTGTAGGCATCGAAATTCTTTTTCAAGGACTGAAATTATGATACTTTTAACCATGCTTGTGCTCAGATATACTGACTATCTCATACGGAGATGGCTCAACCGCAGACTGCAGGTGGCTGATATAGCTGTTGGGTTGCGGATTAGGACAGTCCCTATTTAGGATCCCACGTTTCTATTCTTCCTTTTTTTTTTTTTTTTAATGGATGCGATCCGTTCAGTATGCTACCTGTTATCGATATCATGCTGTTCCGTACTCGTTTACCATCAGAAACACAGAGTTCGTCTATACTGATATGTGCAAGGGGTGCATCAAACCTACTATGTAACATACACTAAGTAGTAGTAATATTTTATCAGCGAATATATTGATAAAAGTTACTCTGTATTTCATGCTTACTTACCAGTATCAAACGATACATTTTGATTTGCTGGTAGCAAGTCAGCATAACCGATACTATGGGTATGAGGCTAATATTACACGTATTAGTATTGTTTTATAATACCACAGAGTCCGCAAAGCCAAGCTTTTATTCGTTATCATTGTTGGGCTCTTTGCCACACCCCAGTACACCGTCGGAGTGAGTAATGGTCATAAGGCAAGATAGATTGTATATTGTTTTAGCACAGGTCGTCTCAGTTGGGCCTCGACTTTCGCATCTAAGCTGCTTGGCACATGATTTCGTGGTTGATTTAGGTGGGCCTACGATGGTTGCCTATCTAGCCAACTGTCAATTTTGCCTACTTCTGGCCCTAGTCGGCTCCTAATCACCTCTTCATTGTTGCTGAAACACATATACCAACCATAACTTACAAGAAGGCGGAGCTGTTTTCATCTCGTTCTGAGGTTATTTTTGGAGCGGATACAATAAAATACTGGCTGCCATGGACCAGATAAATCATAGTGATCCAACGTGTCCCTTTTGTCCATTTTCGGATCCGGACATCAGCCGTGTTGTAGAACATGTGGATGTTTTTCACCCTGAAGTGGATACTCAGGCTGGGCATAGCAGACGGCCGGCAAATGCACCTTCAACTGGAACAGGAGCATGTCCAGGGGATTATGCCGAGTGTCCACACGGCTGTGGGGAAATAGTACTCAACACTGAACTCCCCGCCCATCTCGACTTGCATTTTGCGGAAACAGTTGCCTTTGAAGACATATCTTCATACCAGCCGGAATTGCCCGTTGACATGGAGAGTGCACTGTTCAGCCACGATGCAGAGAGACGGGAACGGTTGGAAGAGCGCACTCCCGGGCTTCTACCCAGTGAAGATAGAACGCCCTCGCCATGGTCATTGGTTGGTGGCACGAAAGCACCGCACAGAGAGACAGCAAAGCGACTTGGAGTACGGAGTCTTCACTTACCCTTTATACTTCATAGAGCGCGTTATGCTTACACTCAAACCTAGCGTACGGAGTTAGGGCCTCATGCTCACGAAAAGCAGATGCCATCATGGCTGCGAAAAATGTTAGAGAGAGGTTCTATGTCAATCTTTACAAACACAATTGCCTCAGACGGCACGCTTCGGAGGCGCGAAGCTGTCGAAAACGAGACGCGCGATGTCATCCCAGTGCTCGCTCGGTTATGTGAGCAGGACAAATCGGTTCAGCGTGCTTTTTTCTGCAGCCCAAAGGTCCATCAGATCTCGAAGATCCCCAAAGAAGGAGGATTTTGCGGCTATAGGAACATCCAGATGCTAATCACCTTCTTGAAAGAAACCCAATTTCCGGGACATGAGCGCTTCCCAACGGAATTACCCACGATCTTCCAACTACAAGATATGATTGAAGATGCATGGGACAAGGGTTTCAATAGTGTAGGGAGGGTCGAAACAGGAGGTATCCGAGGAACTAGGAAGTACATTGGCACGCCAGAGGTATGTTGGCTATGAACGTAATCTTATGGTTTGAATTGATTCATTACTCTATAGGCACAAGCCCTGTTTTCGAGTCTCGGCATACAGTAAGACTCCTTCCCCAAGCTGAGAAGCGCTGCTTTAACAACCCACAGGTGCGAAGCAAATAGCATTAGTGCCTCGAAGGAAGTGCGTGCACATGACGCATTATATATGAATGTTGCGGCTTATTTTCGAGATGCATGTGCTTTGGAGGAAGGGAAAAAAGTCATGCAGACGAACTTGCCCCCTATCTACTTCCAGCACCAGGGTTTGAAGACCTCTTTCTTCGTGACATGTGACATGTCTAATGAGTGGACGGGCATGAACAGGACATTCCATGACAATTATCGGCTTCGAGATACGTGACGGTGGTAGCGCAGACATACTCGTTTTCGATCCTATGTTCCGAATACCTCCAGCAGTGAAGCGCCTTAGGGGGGCACAAACGATGACGTCGGACCCTGCACGCGTATTGAAGGTTTACAGACGAGGCACGGCATATCTACAGAAGTACAAGGCATTTGAGCTTCTAAAGTAAGTATGATAGAAGAGGCGACCATTATGGTGACGATGCAGTAAAAGCTTACCGGATTGCTTCTAGATTGAAATATTCCGCCAATTCGTCTAGCAAATAGCACTGCAAACTAGCGCGGCATGACATCAGCCTGCCAAGCAGCAACAGTTCTTTGGCTTCCAATGTGAAGCGCACATCACAACATGCCTACTTTGCTATTTCCAATTATCATGAGCATGTGCATGACTCTTCCGGTAACCGCTATACGTCAGCTCACCAAGTGGCAGCATGCTTAAGATAAAGTTACCAGGTTTGGTTTTCACGTGCATTGTACCATGCTGTAAGACTCAAGCTGAGCTCTACATATCAATAACTTTATCAGGGTTACATATGAGCTAGCATTTTCTAAGTACTATAATGCCTATTCGTGCATATATAAATATGAGCACGGCAGCTTCAACCAAGTAGATAACGAATCATGTAGCACCGGGTAACTTATGGAGATATCGGGAAGTTTGATAATCCGAAGCTGTACTGATTACTTACCCCACGGAAAATTTCCCCTCACAGTTGAAACTTTATCGGCCTTTATCGGGCAAATTGAAAGAAATACTCATTCACGTCGCACATTTTAATGAGGCATAATGCGGACATCTCCAAATGTGATAATAACAGGCACGCCCGGCGTAGGAAAAACCGTCCATTGCGAACAATTGGCCGAGGAGACAGGTCTGCGGCATCTTTCAATCAACCATGTCGCAAAAGAGCGAGACTGCTACGAGACATATGACCACGAGTTACAAACCTGGGTTGTGGATGAGGACAAAGTACGTTCATGTAACGCTTATTCTAGTCTGGTTTCCAGTCGTCTGATAAGTTGGTCCCAATTTGCACTCCTCATGTTTACCTAACATACATATTGCAGCTCCTGGACGCTATCGAGGATCAAGTCCTTCAAGGTGGCTATTTAATCGACTGGCATGCATGCGATCTATTTCCCAAGTCATGGATTGATTTGGTCGTTGTATTACGCTGCTCATCTACTGCTGTTCATTATGATCGTCTCGCATCAAGGTACACCACAAGGACTATAAGCCATCCGCTCCCACCCCCGCCCTCCCCCTTCACTATTAGCTGAAATGCTAATTGGAGCTTATCGGTTTACAGGGGATACAATGAAACGAAGCTGCAGGAAAATTTAGATGCCGAGATATTTGGTGTTTTGCTTGACGAAGCTCGAGAAGCCTTCGACGAGGAATTAGTGGTTGAATTGAATAGTGAGAGGGATGATGATGTAGAGTCCAATTGCGCAAGGATTTCTAGCTGGGTACAATCTTGGAAAAATGACCGAGCCTGAGATCTCGATTAACCTACGGCAATCCGGGGGAGGGGGCGGCCGAAACCGACACCAATTCGCACCGTGAATCTTGCAATTTATATCAATGACGTCTGTCGGCCAGCCAATCTTGCAACTTGACCAGGGCTTTATATCTGTGTGAGATGAGGTTCTGCTCCGTTGTTAGTGGCTGGTTGAAGAAACTGATGGGACAAATCCATTACCTTCTCCTCTTTGTCCATTTCAGCGTAAGTCTTGCCGCGATACTCGAAAATCGGATCCCAGCCTGGAAAGAGCTAGTGAGCATTGATTTTTGTAACCAATAGTCGCCTGTACATACCAAAATTCGCAGGACCTCTTGGTCTCACAATAGCTCCCTTGCGATGCGTCAGCTTCTGACAGGGTAGGTGGAGTTCGCACTCAATCCTACCTCAGTTCTACCCTGGAATAAGATTGGATCCGAACCGGGTCCGCTGGAAAAGGCAAAAGTGCAGACAGCCTCCGCAGCTCTGGTCTCAAATGAGTCAAGCAATTTATTCAGGCCTTCATGGCCTAGGGCATCGAGGAATGATTTGCTAGGCAGAATTATTAGGAGTGTTAGTATGCTTAGGTGAGGGAAGACATACATGTATGGGCCAGGCAGTCCTTTAAGAGCGTGAAACTCAAGCGCAGTATCTTCTGTCAATACCGGGCCTCCGACCTGACCGAAGTGAGTCAGTGTGTTCGAGCTGTGCAAATTCTGCTTTCTGTGGTGTCACTCACCACTTCTGCTGCACGTCGACATTTCTCCCGGGCAATCTCTTCTATTGTGCCCTGTATCTCCGGAAGGTCAACTGCTTGATTTTCAACGTCGATCACAGTCCCTAATATCGCTTTCACTTCTGCTAGCTTGTTTTTGTTGCCGGTGATGAAGTTTATTGTTTTCATCGAGGCCATCTTTGCGTAGGCCGGTCGGATTCTTAAAAGGAGCAACAAGAAAAATCCAGACAGTAGGTTGTCCGTTGACAGACTACAGACGAAGCAGAACGGATAGACAGGGGTGCACTAGATATATATATACCTGTTCCGCCGAAGGTTCGTTCAATCCTCCAACGCTTAAGATTCTTGTTTCCCCGCAGCCCCACCAGGCGGTAGTGTGGTTCAGCTGCAACGGAGCAACAACTTAGGAGGGGCCTTCATTCGGCTGCTTACAGAGATGTACTATTATATAAACTGGCTAGCATGATACAAACGCTCATCATCATGGTTTCTATGAAATTGCTAGTACTCCGTTGTTCATATACAAGGTCTATTCCATCGTCGCCGCGCCGCTTTCCGTCATCTCCATCCTCTCTTGCTGAGCCATTGCTTGGGCAGATACGATTTCAGCCAATCGCTTTAGTCGCGGCGTTTGAAGCCCTTCAGAGACCGTTAGCATCACTCGTTGCATTTTCCGCTAAAGTCCACTTACATGACGGGGTGTATGTCTCCAAGGCTGTTATAACACGTGGCTCCGCTATCTCATACGGCCCACTATCTTCCATGTCAACTGGTGTCAGGAGGAGAACATCACTCTTCTCGGTGACACGGGAGGCCACGGCTTTCATGATTTCACCATTGATAGGTTGCTCATAGTCAGCCACGAGATACTGATTCAAAAGTTTCTGGATTTGGTTTGGCGAGAGCCTAAAACTGTCAGTACTGCATGGAAGTTCAACAGGACAAAGTTGATCGGAACTCACATCCAACAAATATCTTGAATAATCTCGATGTCATTCAAGGTGGCCTTCTTCAGCTGAAGAAGCTTGGTCGCTTGCTAGAAAGAGATGAATTTAGCGGATAGAACAATTCCATCGTCTCGACAAGTATCTTACCATTAGATGCTCCAGCTGAAGTGTACCCTCGGGCATATCATGGCTCTTGCACCACTCCTCAATGCGGGTAATGTTGTAATTGATCTGCAGACCACGTTTCCAGGAGAGAAAGTTTCTCCGCATGAGAAGGTCATTGAATGCAGTGACACCAACAAGTCGGAGAAGCTCAGTGACCGTCTGTGTGATAATAGTCTCTTCCAAATAGAAAGCCTTCATCGCTTTGTAGACATTGTTCAAGAGACTGAGAAGGTTATCCATACTGTAGGCTGGGTTGTTGTTGGAGGGTAAGAGCTTCCCAAGAAACCTGTTTGTCTCGCTTGTAACGAACCCAGGGAGGGACTGGGATTCTATGATTGCTGGTACAATCATCTTGTAAAGTTTCTTCTTCAATACTTTCATCCACGTATGATAAATGTTGAACTCCAGGCTTTCGAGATCATGCTTCACAATCTCTAAAAGGCGATCGTACTCGAAATTATCCGTCTTCTGTGCTTCATACCAATCTTCGGCCAAGAAAACGAAAGACAACATTTCGTGGACATTCGAAAGCCAGAAGGCTCCAGGATTGATAGCATCTTCTCCGTCATGCTGCATAACCTCTTGCTGGATTGACTGCATGACGTTGGCTAAGAAACGCTCGGACTCTTTCACAAAGCCATTGTTCCACATTTCGGAAGTCACTAAATTGATCAAATAAGCTGGGAACAAGACCTCCTTCTCCGTTGGTGGAGGTGTAGAGCTGGGCAGTGGGATTTTCAAATTGCGTATCAAGCCCATTGTCACCTCTTCATTGAGCTCATCTTCTTCAGACAACAAATTCTCGAGCTCTACCTCAACGGAGTCCAGGCCTGGAGAGAAAGCATTTCCTGAAAAATGCTGGCGGCCCATAGCCGAGCTAGGAATGGCCATCGACACCGGCCTTGGGTTGTAGGCACCACTGAAACGATCAATATCGATCCGCTCAGCACCGGCGCTTCGTCTTTTAGGCTTGGGCTTCTTGGAAGAAACGAGGTTTATCAAGCCGCTCGCAGGTGGCTGAATGGGCCCACCGTTCTGCTGGTCTCCATTTGTGCCGTTGGCAGGCACAACCCTCTTTGCAAGCTCAAGCTGTTCTTCGAGGTCGACTATCTGCTGACGAAGGGTTGCCTTCTCGTTTTCAGCATCAGTATTCAGCTGCTGAAGTTTCTCCAACTCTTGGTTTGCGGTACGAATCGATTCACGTGAGACCTTCTCTTCTTCTTGTAGACGCTTGATGGTTGCCTGCGCATCATTATGGTGCTGTTGTAACTTGTTCATTTCTTCCTCCATGGCAGTTAAGCGAGCAGCAGTGATACCTGCCTGGTTTGCTTCGGCCTGTAGTTCTTTCGAACGATTCTCGAGCACATTGTGACGGCTTCTCCACGACTTCACTTGTGTCTCATAGTTCTCCAGTTGCGAGTTGAGTGACTTATTTTCTCGCTTCAAGGATTCGAGGTACTGAGTCAACTCTACCACCTTATTCTCCAGCTTATAAGAGATCTGTTTGAGGTCCCGAGCATCCTCGCGGAGCTTTTTGTACTCTCTCCTGGCCTGCTTTCCTCTCCAGAGATTCTGGACAATGATCACTTTCCTGCGGTATTGTCTCCAGGCGCGTAGCTGCCGCCAGGAACGGAACGATCGCTGTATTACTTTGGCTGCATTGCCATGGATCGTGTCGAGGATATTCTGACGGCAAAGGAATCCCTTCGCAACTGACTGGAAAAGAATGAAATTGGCACGAATGCGGCTGTAATTCCGCCGCTCCTTCTGTCCTCGCCATACCCTCTGGATAGTCGTAGCTGCCTTGACCTGCCGTATCTCAGCTGCACGTTGCCTTGCCAAGAAACCTCTAATAAGAGCCTGTGTTGTGAGGATAGAGGCACGAGCCTCAAGATATCTGCGGCGGTAGTACTTGCATCGAAGGTTCTTCTGTATCATAACAGCACACCCATTCAATCTTGATGTGCGAAGATTCTCGAGAAAAGCAAGCATGCCTGCTCGAAAGAATATCTTCGTTAAACCCAGTTGGTATTTATCTTGCTTTTGCTGGGTGCCATCCCCAAGAGCTTTTTGTAGAATGGCATGGCACATATCCCTAATTTCTGACGTCCATTGCGATGAGTGACAAAGCATGTAGTACCGGATTGCAAATTCCTCGTAAGTCCAGCGTGTAGGATATCCAGCAGTACTGATCCGTACAGTCTCAAGGACACCACAGGCTCTCAGCTGACTGAGTACCATCGGCCCTTCGAATTTCCACGACTCCTTAGCCTCATTAGGTTTGATGCAGCGTATATAGTGCACGTCGGTAGAGTTGATTGTGTTCATGAGCTCAATCAATGATGATTTGAAAATCCCTCCCAGAGTTGGCTTGCGATTGACAGCAACGCCAATTTTTCGACCTGGGGCAGCCACGGGCTTGGATGAGATGGATGCCGAATCTTTCTCGCGAACGGCTGCTGCCGTGTCTAAAATTTCTTTCACGAACTCATTGGATGAGCCTCGCAGAATCTCCAAATGCTCGTCTGGAACAGTGTCCCGGTTTTTTTCTATGAAGCCGTCGGACTCGTAGGTCACATCGACCGCATAGTGACATATCGTAAACGCGGACTTGCCGAACCGGGGCTTCTTGTAGAACTTCTGCTTATCTGCGGCGAAATTGTGGTGCAGTTTGGTCACGAATTGCTCATCCGAGCCCATAGGCAACCGGGATTCTTCATCCAAAAGGGATAAGATGCCCAATTTTGCTTCAATTAGGTCAATACAAGGTTGGTTATCCGAAAAGTCAATGAACGTCCAGTCTATCTGCTCGCGCACATATTCTTCCTGTTCCAGTTTGAACACGTGCTGGTTAAACTCTTGCTGCAGCTTCTCATTGGCGTAGTTGATGCAAAACTGCTCGAAAGAATTTTTCGCAAAATGTTCGAACCCGTAGATATCCAAGACGCCAATGAAAGACTTGAACTTGTTCAGAATACTATCGGTAGCCAGACCTTGGTTGATTCTATCAACAAGCCAATCGAATAGGCTAGAATAAATGAATTTAGCAACTGAGTCCCTGACCACCGTGGCCTGTTGTTGAGTTAGGTTTGACGTTATCTTTTCCCCTCGCGTAATCAATTGTTTTTTGACTATCCATTTCGCAAACTCGTTGGCGTCAATTCCAAGCAATTGGCAAGCTCGAACAAGTGAAGGTTCCGAGGAAGACAAATTCGAATCTGTCCTGGTGGCGGTTATTCTGACATTCCCAAGGTGCAACAAAGCAGCGAGCACACGAAATATTTCCGCCTGCGTTTTTTCCGGGACCCCTATAGTACTCAAGGACTTCTTTGTCGCATTGAATTCGGCTCTGTCATCAACACCATCAATCGTCGGTGTACCACCTTGGTTAAGATAATCGAAATCTTCGACGGACGTAAGGCCAAGCTCCTGTTTTTCGGGGTCAGTGGCACCGGCAACCATTTGGTAGAATATATGATAATTGCGCTCTTTCAGTGGCTGGAAGACAAGTCGAGATCGTTCAAGAAGATAAGTTCGTATCTTTGCGCCAATTATATTGGTCCTGTCATCGAACATTATCTCAATGTACTTTCCGAAGCGCGAAGAATTATCGTTGCGGGTGGTTTTGGCATTTCCGAAAGCTTCCATGACAGGATTTGTGGCCAAGATTTGCTCTTCGGTTTCACTGATGGCATCTGCTCGACTGGTAGTATACTTTCCAGGTTGATCTGAAGACTCGCGGGTTGCAAAATAACGCATAATGTACTTTGCGCTGACCGTTTTCCCGGCACCTGATTCACCAGAGACTACAATCGTTTGATTTTTTCCATCGCGTAGCATGTCACTATACCAATATCGTAAGCAAGAACACAGGTGGTTTTTTGTAGAAAAGGAGTCGCTCTTACGCAAACGCTTCCTCGGCGATAGCAAAGAGGTGTGGCGCCTGAGATGCCCTATGTTTTCCAGCATATACTTGCACCATTTGCGGAACGTAAAGTGAATCGACCCGGGCGAATGGATTGGTAGCAATAAGAACGATGCCGCTATATGTGTATATTTCCTTCTGGGCATAACGCAGCTTGATGGCCTGCAAAACTGGAAGGGACTCAGTAATCACCGTAATCTTGCTTCGGAGGCACACCCACCGGCTGGCTCATTCAGATGAGACAGGTTTGTAAGGTCTTCGCTGGCTTCGAGCATGGCAGGATTCATCAAGGGCGGCAGTTTTGGATTGTTGTCTACCTGTAACTCGGCCTGGGTTGTTTCCAGTGTTTTTGTCTTCGCACATGAATCTGTCAGTTGATATCATATCTTCTATGCGAGATACCCAAACAGATCGTATGGTACGAACCTCTCCATTTTCTATCAGGAAGACAAGCTGCACTTTGTCCCCATCAACCAACTTCTCTTTGACTTCAGATGCGACCCATCCCTCGGTCGGATCAGGTTGCCAAGCCCTTGTTCCGACCTCGTAATTGTGAGCCATTGCGTTCAGATCTGTAGATATGTTGTCTCTCTATATCTTGACGTGACCGGAGAAAGCAACCTATGCAGGACGTTCGGAGGATCTGTTCGAATAATCGATGTTAAAAGGCATCTAGTGAGGAGGTAAGGGAAAAGCACAACTAATTAAAGCAATTCGAGAAATGATTTCCCGTCTGGTAGTGGTAACGACGGGCTCTATCCTTGATTATAAGTCAGAAGAAGGCATCATGCTTCGCTTCAGGGAGAAATTACTGAACTGGCTAACAGCTGGCGTTACCGAGCCGCAACCCCTGAGGCGGCGCCTGGAGAGCGGCGCCACTTGTCGACGCGATCCCCACAGTTGTCAGCACCAGCGCCAAGAGCCAGAAAGTATGAACATCATGTATTACTGCTATTTAGGTATTGATGATAATCAGAAGCTATCAAGGGGTTGTCTACTCTTCCCCAGAGACATACTTATACAAGAATGAATAGAACGGACAATTTTCTAGCTCATATGCAGCTGCGAGTCCAAATTGTGGCAGATGCTCTGCAGAGCATAGACAGTCTTACATCAACAGAAGATGGTGACAGAACAGGCGGTGAAGGAACACTAAGGATTAGCTAAGACGGACCAAACTATCTACTGTATGCACCATGCTACCCACTATGGGCGTAGAAGCAGCTTTTTCGTTCGTTTCGTATGAAGTCGCCGGTTTGGAAGAGCAAAACTTAGCGCTTTTGTTATTAGCAACAGTAGAAATTATGATTCTCTGGCCGCGAAGGGCTGTTTTTTTATTCTTCCCCCCAACACAGGGCCATGACGAGAGCAAGCCGACATACGACCTCTGTGTACTTCCCAAGTCTGGAGTAAGTTCATGCTTCGTATCGTTGCTTGGACACAATATTTGGATAGAAAGTGATTAGAAATATGTGTCACGCAACAAGACTAGCGATGCGCACGATGCCTTGAACAAGGAAACGCCAATGGATTAATTGCACTACAAAAGCGCTTCCCAAGACATTGGGACAACATTCTGAGGCAAGATTACTAGGCGGAAACAACAAGTCAAAAGGACCGGGAGTGGGAACAGTGACAAATAAATAATAAAATATGATAAAGTAAAGGCGAAAACATCGAAATGACATAAAAAAAGAAAAGGAAAAAACACCACTTGAGGGCTAGGCGTGATGAACTGATTCATGCATGCTCCGAGCTTGGTTTATTGAGCCATGCTGAAAATTCTCAGCTTTGTTTACATTCTGCCGCCTCCTTCTTTGGCTTTGAGGTGCCATCCTGTTCTGGTGTCAGCATGGACAGACGGTATAAGCAAGCGATGATCAATGAATGCGTACCTCTTCATCGGAGTCATCGTCAACATCCCGGTCGGATCTCCTCTCATCATCATCGTCTTCATCATCCTCATCCTCATCTTCATCGTCCTCGTCGTCGTATTCATCGGCATCCATATCGTCGCCCAGCTCTTCGAACTGAAGGGCCTCTCCCGTGAACCAGTCAATGGCTCTGGGGATGAGCTTCTCCTTGATGTCTTCACCGAGCTGATAATCGAGTTCGAGTCGCTCCTCGATATCAGTAGCAACGGTATCATCATCGTCAGTCGGGGGCTGAGGGGGGGAGAAGAAGTTGAAAAATGACTCCGTGGGGACGGTAATTTTGACAATCCGAGTCTGTTTCGTGTCTGAGAAATGTCAGCTACAGTGCACATTCGATAAATGCTATTTCGATACTCACTCTTGTTTCTCTGTTTCTTGCTCTCAATGCGGACAGTAAGATCTTTCTCAGCCTTCCAATCGATCTTAGTGCCTTCGGCGTGATCGTAGATGAAATCACCACCGTAGCCGTTTTCTTCCTTGTAGTAGTAGGTCTTCGAGATAGTCTTGTTTGTGAAATAGGCATTCTCCGAGAATTCGAAGATGAGACGGAAGCCTGGGCGGTCGAGGTATTCCATACGGATATCGACGAGATGTTTCAAAGCCTCTTCATCTCGCTCGGTGATCATTTCTGCGAGAGAAATCTGGTTCTTCATAGCTGAGAGCCAAAATTCAGGTATACCGGCAATTTGGGACTCCTGATCCTCTTCTTTGGTGGCCTCAGCATCATCTTTAGAGTCAACATCCTCTTCATCACCCTGTCCCGCTTCAACTTCACCATCCGTAGGCTCCGCGGCTCCGTTGACTATCGTGGAACGCCTCTGATACAAGGGAGTAAACTTCGCGAAATACTTCTTCTCGAGTTCCAGTACTTCTTCCTGAAACTGAGCTTCCAATTTAGCGTGCTCCTTCTGGATACCCTTCAGGCCAGCAACGCGCCGGCGGACTGACACGGGTAAAGATTCAATGTAGCCCGAAGAGCGGCCAACAAGAGATCCAAGTTTCCCCTGGATCATCGAAACGAGCCCGGGGTTGCGTGCAAATAGGGAAGCCGCCGTAGCATGGTCAAGAGACTCTATGATTGGTTTGTATGAGAAACGATCTCAAAGGAAATCAGGGATTTTACCTTCTTTGATACTAGCAATTCCAGGTTGCTGGGCATGGGAAGAAATAGGAGCATTGTTGGCCGGGGTATTTTGTGGTGTCCTGCAACCGTCATATCTTGTCAGAGATCAAAGAGCATAGCATACAACAAAATGTTTAAGAAGTTGGTAGTTCGATGAAGGGAGACTTACGGAGCCACTGGAAAGTCCGCTTTCTTATTCCTGATGGGCTCAGACATCTTGACAGTGCTGTTTAGGGGGGAGAGTGGGTAACGAGGAGATGGTTTGGTAGAGGGGTCTGGCGAAGAGAGTTAAGGAAGAATTTGATACGTTTCGCGAGGTCTGGAATAATACTGGCTTGGTGGGATCCTTAGCGCCCTTGGGCCGAGGGGCTTGGCGGGACGGGGGCGCTGGCTGTTGAGAACTTTTCAAAAGCTCCCAACAATACAGTATCAATTACTGGTGTCGGCAGGCCATGTGCTTTGTCATTCCAAGGCTTTTTTTTTTTATTTTAACTAGCTAACTAACTAGTTAATAATTACCATTATCTATCTCCTTAGTCAATAGTACAATATATGGTATAGCCTTCTATACTTCAGAGTAGTCAATGGCCTCGAAACTATGGCCTTCTAGTTCCAGAATACCGTAAATGCAGCGGAATCTACAAGTCTTCCTTAACTTTCCAATATTCACCACGGAGTAGTCCATACTACCTTGTCAAAATACAGATACACGACGAAACTCACTTTAGGGCTGTCCTTGCTGTATACGATGGTGTTATCCAAGCGCCCCAGAAACAGCTGGCGGAGGGAGGTTTGGGCGACGAGCAATTGAGAAGACACCAGGATGATATCATTTCACCAGAGTCATACGCGGCCATGGTCCTGCGGGTCATAGGCAAGTTAAGACTCCTTACCTCTGCTCCGACACTCGAGAGCAGGGCATATAGTAAACAGGTTACAAATGTAGTAGAGTGCAAGTTTCTTTGATACCCGATATTGGCCAATATGAGCTATGCTATTGGCTAATTCCTGGGTAGTATTGATATATCAAAAGTTTTGGCTGACAAGATTTTTTATCTACAGACAGCAAACTTTGTATGCGGATTGAGGAAGGATTCATAACTCGATGCGTACCGTGACAACATCCCGCCATCTAGATAGTCACGTGGAGATAAGACGTCAAGCCGGTCATAAAGAGCATCTTCGGACCATCACGTTAGTCCACGCACAAACACATATTGATAAATCAGACATCCTACGCAGTGTTAACTTTGATTGTTCAGCGTGACGAGATTGGTTACTTTTCGGCATGCGAAGAGTCAAATAAACCACTCTAATTTCCGTCCATTGCCTGTCGGTGTCAACAAAAATCGACCTCTATACGAAGTCGAAGCAGACCTTCAAAAGCGCATAGGAAGTAACATTATCAAGATGGAGTCTGATATACAACCACCACTAGAGGCTCAGTCACCCATATTTTCAATTGGGGCTGATCGTCGCCGCAATTCAATAAGAAGCAGGTTCTTCACACTAGACAATACCCTCGTGGTGGGCCTCACTGATGGTCTTCCAGCTATAGCGTTGTTTCAGACGTTGAAATGGCCCGCAATGAGGTGCGTTCAGATGCCGGCGAAGCTTGTGGAACAATGAACGTAACTATCTATACTAGATATATGACGGACCGATTTCAGAGAGTATCCCTTCCAGTGTTGTTTCCTTTTCCCACCGTCGGAACCGCAAGGATTCCACCACAAGCTTCACCTATTTCCAGGAAGATCAGGAACACCTGGACTGGCCAAACGAAGATACCATAGATGCTGAAAGTGACGTTGACAACTTATCTGATATTGAGGCGAACGAGTCAATTAGATCCTCTAAACGTCCGTCCTTTTCTAGAGACTCTGTTCAAGACCCTCTTCTACGAAGGTCTCTATCAGCTTCGTCGCGTGATTATTGCCATAGAGGCGATCAAAGGGTAAGCCAAAAGGTTCACATCGTTTCGGAAGACTTGACTATCGTGATTGCGGGCTTTTCGACGAGTCCTACCGGTCTGCTATTGTATTATCTGTCTTGCCTGTTGTCGCTCGGGGTTTTCTATCTCCTATTTCGTTGGTTTCCAAAATACCGAATCCGTTTGATGGGAATGCCAACACCTCTACAAACGTGTCAATGGGTTGTAATTGAGGTAAGCAATATTACATATGGAACAATAAAACCTTATCACTGAACTGGGCTAGGATCAATGGAATCAACTTGACATTCAGACCGTCCATACTGAAGTATACGGTCGTCCTCTCTCCACAGTCTTCAGTCCTAACTACGCGTCGTATGATGAGGACAATGATCCAACAATCTATCAATTGCGGTACATTGATTACAGATATCTTCGGCTTATTTACCACCCAGCCGATGACCAATTTTGTTTAATCGGTGGCTGGAAAGACCCTTCCTGGACGAACGCGAAAGGGATGAGAGCTGGACTGGATGCCGATGACCGTGATAGCCGTGAACAGGTGTTTGGCAAGAATCTCATTGATATTCAGCAGAAATCTGTTTTCCAACTTCTTATGGATGAGGTACTTGTTCACCGACGTTCAATGTTGGATTGGCATGCTCACTGTTCCAGGCTTTTCACCCATTTTATATCTTCCAACTTGCTAGCCTTGTCCTCTGGTCGCTTGACCAGTATTACTATTATGCGGTCTGCATCTTTTCCATCTCTGTGATAAGTATAAGTGCTACTATAATTGAAACCAAAGCAGTATGCTGTTCTTGCCAAACCAATGTGCTGGTGTGCTAACTCTATCTAGACAATGAACCGCTTGAGACATATTTCACTGTTTGAGTGTGATATCCGTGTGCTTAGGAACGGGTTCTGTAAGCCAATTTTTTAAAATCCTCCAATCCTGATGCAGGATTAACGTTCCTTTCTCCAAACAGGGAGATCTGTCCCCTCTCGGGAGCTTGTTCCGGGTGATGTTTACGAATTTTCTGACCCCTCCCTGAACTATGTACCTTGTGATTGTATATTGTTATCCGGGGATTGTATTGTGAACGAAAGCATGCTTACAGGTTCGAGTATCATCTCCCAAGGTTTTTAATGAGAATCTAATGGAGGTACAGGTGAATCTGTTCCTGTTTCTAAAGTCCCCCTGACAGACGATGCCCTCAAATATCTAAATTTGAGCGCACCCTCAATCCATCCCGCTCTTGCAAGACATTTCTTGTTCAGCGGTACGAAAGTAATTCGAGCACGTCGTCCCCAAGGCGTTGATGATGACGAAGCTATTGCTTTGGCAGTCGTTGTGCGAACAGGTTTCCTGACCACGAAAGGGGCCCTTGTTCGATCGATGCTCTTCCCAAAGCCTTCCGGCTTTAGCTTTTACCGGGACTCATTCCGATATATATCTGTTATGGCCATCATAGCGATTTTAGGTTTCGTGGCCTCGTTTGTCAATTTCATACGCCTCGGTGTAAGCATAACTTGGATGCCAAGAGATAATTACTGTAACTAACAAGATACAGCTTTCATGGCATTTGATCATCGTTAGGGCACTTGACCTGATCACAATCGTTGTGCCTCCGGCGTTGCCGGCCACGCTGAGCATTGGAACCAACTTCGCCCTCTCACGACTTAAGGCACATAAAATATATTGCATCAGTCCACAAAGGTTTGAAAATACACCAAGCCCCAAATGAGACTATGTTAAGCTTTTCGACAGGGTCAATGTAGGGGGCAAGTTGGATGTGGTCTGTTTCGATAAGACAGGTACTCTCACGGAAGATGGACTGGATGTACTAGGAGTGCGGATCGTGGACCACAATAGAAGGTTCATATGCGTGCACACTATACTTCATACATTTGCTTATCAGTTCGCAGGTTCTCCGACCTGCTCCCTAAGCTCTGTCTCGCTTCTCCGACATCATCATATACAAACAGCATTCAAGATATGAGCAGGTATAACAACACCCTTTACACCATGGCAACATGCCACTCCTTGAGAGTTGTGGACGGCGAACTTCTTGGGGACCCCCTAGATGTTAAAATGTTTCAATTCACCGGTTGGTCCTTCGAAGAAGGTGGTAGCCATGTTGAAGAAGCGGATTCCGAGACGATATTACCGTCAATTGCGAGACCACCAGTCAATGAAAACCCAACCAGTGCTTATCAGCGAAATAAAATAGAGGTCTGTACGCCCATTTGATGCTTATAAATGGCAAAGTGTTCGAATCTGACCATGCAAACCTAGGCACCACTAGAACTCGGCATTTTGCGTGCCTTTGAGTTCGTGTCACATCTCCGTCGAGCAAGTGTTATTGTACGCCAGTATGGTGACACTGGTGCTAGCACTTTCGTGAAAGGTGCACCAGAAAGTGTGAAGGCCATATGTCTTCCAAGCAGCGGTAAGGTTGCACCTGCTTAGGTTCTAATTTGAAGCTGATGCATGACTATGTAGTGCCTCACGATTTCGATGAGCTCCTGAGTAACTATACCCACAAGGGCTATCGTGTCATCGCTTGTGCGGCGAAATATGAACCAAAATTAAGCTGGATGAGAGTCCAGAAAATGGCCCGTGCTGATGCTGAAAGTGATCTGGAGTTTCTTGGCTTTATCATATTCGAAAACAAACTGAAACCAAACACGGCCGAAACTATTGCTGAGCTAAATAAAGCAGGGATACGCAACATAATGTGTACAGGTGATAACATATTGACTGCAGTAAGTGTTGCTCGCGAATGCGGACTAATTAGTGGAGATGAACAATGCTTTGTTCCTCGCTTCGTACAAGGTCAGCTGTCCTCACAAGGCGTCATTGCTATTATTAATCTTGCACCAGGTCATTCTCCTGAACATGCGTCCGATGACTGTCTTTGCTGGGAGAGTGTAGACAATCCAGCACTGAAGCTTAATCCAAGTACTCTTATGGTATGGTGTTTGATTCACCTTGAAAAGAAGAGTGGGCATGGCTAACGGCGAGAAGCTTTCGGTGGATTCGACGGCTGTAGACTTATCTATACCAGGCAATGCCTGTAGCCTCAGCCATTACACTCTCGCCATCAGCGGCGAGATGTTTAGGTGGATCGTGGACTTTGGGAGCGAGTTGCTTATCAAAAGGGTGTGTATACCGGCATAGGTCTACGAGTAGAGTTGGCGTTTTGTTGCGATATTGATTTTGCTTTCGTATTAACACTACTTGCAGGTTCTTGTGCGTGGAAAAGTGTTCGCGAGAATGTCACCTGATGAGAAACATGAACTAGTGGAGAAGCTTCAATCCCTAGACTATTGCTGTGGATTTTGCGGCGACGGTGCCAATGACTGTGGTGCATTAAAAGCCGCTGATGTCGGTGTTTCCCTATCAGATGCCGAAGCTTCAGTTGCTGCTCCATTCACCAGCCGCCGCTTCGACATATCATGTGTTCCGACGCTGATCAGGTACCAAACATTCGAACTAAACATATCAAATGTTGCATTGGACGTCTAACAAGGAAACAGGGAAGGCCGAGGTGCCTTGGTCACAAGCTTTTGCTGCTTCAAGTACATGAGCCTATATTCAGCAATTCAGTTTTCAACTGTCAGTTTCTTATACGCATCAGCGTCAAATCTTGGTGACTTCCAGGTGAATCTCGAGGTTCCTGAGAGACAATATATAACCTGCTAACAAAGCATGAAGTTTCTTTATATCGACTTATGCCTCATATTACCGATAGCGATCTTTAGTAAGTGTCTTAGCTGGATCAAGGATGTCAACCACCGGGTGAATTTTAGACTGACTCTGCTCACCAGTGGGATGGACCAAGCCAAACCCTGTATTATCGCGGAAACGACCCACTGCTGATCTTGTATCACGCAAAGTCTTAATCCCGCTGCTAGGTCAAATAATGATATGCATTCTGACTCAATTAATTGCATTTGAGACTGTGAAATCGCAACCCTGGTGGGTAACTTGGCTTTTCCTTAGCTCAAGCTTGCTTACAAGACAACCATTGACCTTCTTAGGTTTCAACCCCCTCAACTAGATCTCGAGGAAAGCAACATTGAGAATTCCGAGAACACAGTTCTGTTTTTGCTTTCCTGTTTTCAGTACATCCTGTCAAGTGTTGTCCTTAGCGTCGGACCGCCTTTCAGAAAACCGATGAGCTCTAACAGTCAGTCCCCCCAAGCATGTGTGATCGGCCATGTCACTAACAGAGTCTAGAACCATTTCTCTCTATGATAATTGTGGATTTGATGATATCCTGCTACATGCTGTTTACACCCTCACATTGGCTGAAGCGGGTCATACAATTGACGTACCTGCCGGAAAGTTTTGCGTGGTGGTTGCTGATACTTGCTGCCTTGAGCTTTTTGTTCTCTTGGTTGGCAGAAAGGAATCTCTTTCCTAGATTGGCTCATTTGCTAGGGCGCATGTACACAGTGTTGCGACCAGGTCACCCCAAAAAGCGTCGCCAGTACAAGGTACTACTCGAGGAAATGCAAGGGTAGATGGAATCCCACTTTTGCATATATCCTATTCTTATGATTGTCGTTATTCTGACTTGAAAGTTTGAGTGGATGGTTCCTTCAATGACGACAGAAAGCGAGGACCTTTGTGTTTACAACTCAATTGAGATATTTGATGTAATCCTCAAGAAAATCAACTGTCTTACATTCTCAACAAGCGAGACCGTACTCAGGTCGGAGAATATTCGGCAATCAATGGTCCCAAGGATGCTTCCAACCCAACAAAGCAGGACCGTCTTTCTTCGCCCTGTACATCAGCTATAGATCCGCAAAAAGTGATGGTTAGCACTATTCGCCATATAATCGCGTGAGATTCGTACAAAGAACCACATGCTAGCTCCCAATGCAGTCGCGGTGAAACGATAGAGAGGTCGAGCGGGATGAATATGGATTGGGTGGTTTGCAGCCATATCTGTACGTAACAAGTCAGTCCCAGGCAATAAAAGGATTAAAAAAGGGGTGATAGAAGATTCGACGTGCATACTTTTCTGCCGTTTGAGGACCTTATGTATCAGGACTGGGGTTTGAAGAAAGGTAAATCAATAGCAGTGAGGGATCGGTACGGACTAGATGGTTAGCATTACATAATCACGTGATACCAAGAATTCTGCTCCAGGTAACAGCCGGCACGGTTTGAAGTCAGGGACAATCTATCTTCCTTCGTACCATCTCAGCTAGTGAGATCATGATCGTCATCCAGTAAAATTATACGTTGAATTATCGGAGCACTATGATAGCTCTGGCTCTTATACGAGCGAACGGATCACGTCCCATACTACCTTGAAAACAACAGTCTTCTACAGTCTTCCTGCTATCAATCTGATATTGTTAGGTATTCACAAATTTCTTTCTGATACAAGCCATATATTTATTTGGCTATCACACAACAGTTTCTCGAGAAGTGTGACTCAGCCGAGCTTTTTTACTCTAGAAAAATCGCAGTGGTCAAGGATCCGCGCGACCTTCGCCTTTGCCCTGACGCTAACAAATCATACCTTGTATTGCAACGCGGTTCGAGCATTGTATCGGGGAGATAGAGCCTCACATTTGTCCCGATCTTGCACGGTTGGCATTATCATTTGCATATATGATCACTTTGGTGAGGAGAGTGTGGGTAGAAAATGGTCATAGTATCTCTCGAGAGAGACAGCAATGGCAACAACCGATTCCATGGGTGCACTAGCATACGTGAGTTTGAATTCTTGGGTAAGCTTGGTGAGGGTACTTTTGGGTGGGTTTCAGAAAGCCTTTACAACAATGTGTTCTCAAACTGAATATCTACAGTGAGGTCTACAAAGCGAGATCGAAAAAGGACAATGCTGTCGTTGCTCTCAAAAAGATACTCATGCATAATGAGAGAGACGGGGTAAGATGACCGACTGGGAGCACCGCATTAGTAGATGCTAATCGATGCCCTCGAAGTTCCCCATAACCGCGCTTCGTGAAATTAAACTTCTCAAGATGCTGTCTCACACTAATATCCTACATCTTAAGGAAATGGCAGTCGAACGGAGTAAAGGTAAGTAAAACTTCCTACCGCAAATCGAAACGTGCTTATACCAGCACAGGGGAAGGACGTAAAAAGCCAAGCATGTACATGGTAACGCCTTATATGGAGCACGATCTCTCAGGCCTTCTAGAGAATCCTGCCGTTCAGTTCACTGAAGCTCAAATCAAGTGTTATATGCTTCAGCTTCTTGAAGGTCTTAGGTATTTACATGAGGTACTAGTTCTTGAGAATTATTTGAGATCTCTGCCCTAACTTGTTATAGAATCGTATATTACATCGAGACATGAAGGGTCGGTGAACCAAAAAGCAGCAATACAGCCTCTCCGACTAACCACCTGATAGCTGCCAACCTCCTTATTAGCAATAGAGGCATACTTCAAATTGCTGATTTCGGATTGGCCCGACCATATGAAGAGGCCCCTCCTCAGCCTGGGCGAGGCGGTGGAGAAGCTCGAAGGGATTATACTACGCTCGTTGTGACCCGATGGTATCGCCCCCCTGAATTGCTTCTACAACTCCGGCGTTATACGACAGCTATCGACATGTGGGGCGTTGGGTAAATCAATTATCCCGATCTCCGTGGTGATGTTAGTCTAACACTCGCAGATGCGTCTTCGGGGAAATGTTCAAAGGAAAACCGATCCTTGCCGGGAGTAGCGACCTCAACCAGGCGCAGATGATTTTCAGTCTTGTAGGCTCGCCTACAGAAGAGACTATGCCAGGGTGGTCTTCACTACCAGGGTGTGAGGGAGTGAAGAATTTTGGTAACAGACCGGGAAACTTACGTGAAGTATTCAAAGAGTATCGTCCCCCCTCCAAAAAGACCAGTTGAATGGGAAACTTCGAATATGTGCCTAACCTCTTCTCAGACAAGGTCCTATAGCGATTTCCTTGCTTAGTGAGCTTTTGAAGCTCGACTGGCGGAAGCGGATCAATGCTATCGATGCTTTGAAACATCCTTACTTTTCTAGCCCACCACTACCTGCTCGACCTGGAGAGTTACCTTCTTTTGAAGACTCCCATGAGCTTGATAGGAGAAGATTCCGTGGGCAAAAGGCACCCATGCCACCGGCACCTGCAGGAGGTGCTGTAGGGATCGTTGGCCCAAATGGAAGTTGGGCAGGTGGTTCAGGGAACAGAACAGGCGTCGAAAGTCGAAATAGTCGTCTTCCAAACGCAGCCCGTGGTACTTGGAATAACGGGGCTCAGGCAGTCCCTCCACAGCGCTCTTATGACAATCGTAACTGCGAAATGCACGCAGCTCGATCGAGGACAGGTGGGGAGGATTTCAGCCAAGGAGCCTGGCACCGAGGGGGGTTGCCACCTCGTCCGCCAACGTCAAACCACCAGATGTGGTCTTCCGGTGGCATAGGTAGATTGGGACGCGACAGAAGCCACCAGGCTCGCGGGCGGTCTGAAGGGAACCTAGACTCCTACATTCCAAGCTATGCTGGCGGAGGCGAACGCCCCTGGGAGAGAGACCACAATTGGGGCTACAATACGGATCGGCGTGACATCAACAATAGTGACTCAGCCTACCAACCTGTGCGAAGAGACTTTTCGCGAGAAAACCCGGCAAGACGAAGGAGCCGTAGCCCCTGCTCTAGGGAAGGCGGTCGTGATGCAGCTAGAACATTCCATCGCAGGTGATTCGGTTTCACCTGTGCCACCATGGCCCTGCAATCGCTACTAATTGTACGATACCTTGTCATTGACTGATCGCAGAAATCACAACGCCAGTTCATTGGATTGGTAACATGTGGGCTTAGAATTAGTAGCAAACACAGCAAAATATTTTGGCATAAATTCTATATATAGCATGTATTCAAATAAGGGCTCAAGTGGTTTTATCACTTTCTCGTTCACACTGGCGAGAAAGATAGCTAATAACGGAAAGAAAGTGATATTACTAATAGAAATAGAAATAAAAGTAGAGAAGGAGCAGCGGTGTTGAATGTTCTGCCGACAGGCTGGCATTGTAGGCTAACTTGTTCTCTCATGTCCAAGGAGCACGAGGAAATCTTGAGTCGGAGTGATAAACCCGTAGAAAGCTCGCTAGCGTATCACGGGTTTGAATCAAGTTTAAGAGGAAATTGTACTGACAGCTTCATTGGACGAGTGCCGTTGAGGGACCTCTGCCGCATAAGAAATGAACAAGGTTCGCAACTAAGTTTGTGATTCCCTCCCGTTTCTAGATCCTTTCGGAGAATCGGTGGTGACCTGCCCGCCTATACCTTCTAGTCATAGGTATAAGCACAAGAGAGGGGCGCTTTAATACAAGATGCGCGTCATAATTCGAGCTAGAGTAAATGATCAGTCAGGAAAGTCATAAAGGTGATATCGAAGAAAGAAATTTCGTACATCCGAGGCTTTCAAGTCTCTCGTACAAGTCCTTGATTGTCATGTTGTCGACACTGCTGATATCGGCCATCAAGTATGCCACCTAATATAGTCAGCCTCGCATCGCACTGTTTAGAAATGCCAATACATAACAACATACATCACCTCTGCTATCAGTCATTTGCTTGTCAACATTGTGATCACCAAGAATCTCGTTGACTGGAGGTCATCAGCAAAGCACCCATTAGTCTGGTTTCGTAGAAGGAAACCTACCTTTTCGCAAAACACCCGGAACGTTCTGATGAATGAAGATGACCTAATCCAAAGAGTTAGCCATTATTCGAAGTCGATAACTCTGTTGCTGTACTCACTCGGGCATGGTTGGGTTCATCCATCGTCAGAGACCGCAGAGCAACCTCCGGCAGGTTTACGGCCCCCAGTGTTGTGCCCTCGTTAACATATCTCACCAAGGCTTCTGCCACCTCAACGCCAATCGCACGCTGCGCCTCCTCTGTGCTACCACCAATATGTGGCGTGAGGATCAAGTTCTTGAGACCCCTGAGATCCGTTGCCCAGTCATTGAGGCTTTGGTTGAAATAATCACCATTTCCGGCTGGCTCATTGGGATAGACATCCAGAGCGGCACCCGCCACTTTGCCGGACCGCATTGCATGGATTAGAGCAGGAATGTCCACGACACTTCCCCGACTGGCATTTATCAGATAACTGCCAGGTTTCATTTGCTCAAACTGGGCTTGTCCTATCATGTTCCGTGTCTCCGGGAGCTCAGGAACATGGCACGTGATGAAGTCCGACTCAGACAAAAGAATTTCAAGGGTTGGTACTTGGCGAGCAGTACCCAATGCCATCAAGTTCACTACGTCGTAAAAAATAACAGACATGCCCATGGCCTCTGCTAGAACCGACAGTTGAGCGCCAATGTGACCATATCCAATTATGCCTAGAAGGGAACATTAGCCTACAGCAAACAATGGTAGAATCAAGAAAATACCAAGGGTCTTTCCGCGGATTTCCCAGCACTTGTTGCTCACTTTGTTCCATGTGCCGTTATGCATCTCATTGGAACGGTCACCCAGTTGACGGGCAAGAGCAATGATTTCAGCTATAACCAATTCTGCGACACTACGGGAATTGCTAAACGGTGAGTTGAAGACCGCAATTCCATGTTCGGCTGCATATTGTAGATCAACCTGGTTCGTCCCGATGCAGAAACAACCAATAACAATAAGATTCCGAGCTTCTTTTAGTACACGAGCGCTCAGCTTGGTCTTCGAGCGAATCCCGATCACATGTACATCTCTGTTCATGGGGGAGGCAAGTCAGACAGAAACTAGAGCTGAAGCAGATTCAATGATACTAACCGAATTTTCTCGATGAGTTGATCTTCCGGAAGGGAAGATTTAAGGAATTCCACCTGATAACCCTGTTTGGTAAGGATGTCCCTACCCGTTTGGTTGACGTTTTCCAGGAGCAGGACCTTGATATCCTCCGTGGCGAACGGCTTCAGATGCTTTGCATTTGCTAGCGGTATCGTACGGCTTCCAAAAGCTGAGCCACCATGGCTGGAGGGAGCAGACTGGAAAGAGGCGGTAGGAGAGGTGGAGAAATTCAAGCTTTGTGAAGGGTTGAGATTCAATCCCTCTTGGACATTTATGTCCCTTGCAGATGTAGCCATTTGGTGAGATTTGGTATAAGAGAACAGAGGGTGAAAGAGTATTCTGTTACGTTAGAAAATAGAGGGCACAAGAAGTAGTGGTATATCCCAAAAATCTAAGTTGAGTGAACAGTAAGACCACAAGGGGGTACTGAAATTTAAAACCTCCGGAACCGGACTTGAACAGAGGCGTTCCACATTCTTTGTGACTAACACCTCATCTGGCGTTATGATCTGTTTGAGTCATCAATTGGCACAGCAATTGTTTGGCCAGTTACTTTTTGGAGGGGCAAGCAACAGCGGGGCCGAAACAACCCCTCTTGGTCCGTATCCACACAAATATCGCATGATTTCTAACTATCTACTCTGTACTTTGTATACAATGTTACCTTGGACCATGAGAGGCGCCATATTGTGTGAGATAATTTTAGGAGGCTGAGCGATTGGCCAAAAATAATTTAATTGATTGTACCTTGTACTCTATATCATCCAACTGTCATGGCATATGCAATAACAGTGGTCTTCTGACCCAGGTGACTAGGATCTCGCTGTTACCGCTTTCACTTTTTTGGGGGGGTTATCGAGATGCTCACATAACAGTCATGGTCCCGCTAATTGATCTCGTCTAGAAGTAACATTTGACTGGCCAGATTTAAACCTGAAGGCCCTCCAGTTTCTTCGCAGTCTCATCTGCACCGCTCACAGCCTTCGTAGTCTGCTTGGCTTTGTTTTTGTTGGAAGTACTATCTTTCGGCAGCTCTTTGGAATATGGGATAAACTCGGGAGCGCCCGGGATATACTTTCTCAGAGGCTCCGGCACAATAATACCCTATCACATTATCAGTATCATCAACCATCAGCAGGTGGGTTCAAGATCATGGCGTACATCATCTGTTTGGTAGTTTTCAAGCACACAGCAGAGCGTACGTTCGGTTGCACACAGAGTCGCATTCAAGGCATGGACATAGGACTTCTTCACATCAGTGGCCTTCTTCGTGCCATAGCGAATCTCTAGGGCCCTGGATTGATAATCGGTACAGTTGGAGCAGGATACTAGTTCCTTGTACTCTCCTTGGAATGGAAACCACGCTTCGAGGTCATACTTCTTCGAGGCGGCATTGTTCAATGCCCCCGAAACAATAGCGACAACCTGGTACGGTAGGCCAAGAGACCGGTAGAACTCTTCCGAAGTGGCCATCATTTCGTCAAATGCTTGCCACGAGTCTTCCGGTTTCGTGAGAACAAATTGTTCGATCTGGGCTGAATTAGCATGACAAGCAATATGGGTAACCTAGGGCTTATCACCTTCTCGAACTGATGGACACGGAAGATTCCCCATGCATCCTTACCATGAGCACCTGCCTCTTTCCGGTAGCAAGTGCTATATCCAGCGTACCTGCATGCTAGTTAGCCTGAGGGAGAAGTTGACTAAAGATGCTCGGACCACCAACTTGATTGGGAGATCTTTATCTTGCAGCCATTCTCCGTCATGTAAGGCTGAAAGTGGTTGCTCTGACGTAGCGATTAGGTACTTGTCGGTGGACTTGTCTTCACTTTCCGTGACTTTGTAGAGCTCCTCGTCGAACTGTTCAAGCTGGGCGGTCTTCGCCATCATGTCCTTGAGCATGAACTGAGGGGGTTGGTTAGGCTTGTAGCCTTTACCCCAGAGGAATTCCAAGCCATAGTTTATGAGCGCGAGATTGAGAAAAAGCCCATAACCTGTCAAACAATAGCCGCGGTGGCCAACCACTTTGACACCACGCTCTGAATCGAACCCATCGAGACGAGTGAGAACTTCATGGTGCGAAAGACAGTTGCGCTTCTCGACCTTCACATTTTCGGGCGCCCACGTCCTTATCACGGCGTTATCGTCCTAACAGCAGTCCTTTCGGTTAAATGAGTCTCTCGTGTCAGACTGAGTATAATACATACTTCATTGTTGCTCACGGGAACAGAGTCATGAACAAGGTTGCCAATGGTCCGAATTTTGCCGTCTCTTTGCTTTTCCTTCTGGATAGCAAGTTCCTCGGCGTCCTTCTTGCGCCTCTCGAGGTCGGCTTTCTGTTCCATCAGGTCATTTGCGTCTTCCTTGTTCTGTTTCAAAATCATAAGTCAATTTCCTGTCACCGCAATAAGGGATATAATAGAAGAACTAAATAAGATTATAATTGAAATTATATTTAAGATAGATGCGAACCTTCTTTCTCTTGCCAATTTCTTTTTGAAGGGCATTAAGCTGGGAGTTTATTTGCATAACCTCATACCGTGCTATAAGATATCCGAGATCAGCTGTTTAGAATATCAAACATCTGTGATAAAGCAAGAATAGCATACCACGCCGCGCCTCTTCGTAGAGGGAGAGAACCTCATCAACGACACTCTCCGGGGCGTAGCGTTTCCGTTGGCTCTCTTTGATTTTGTTCGGGTTGCCACCGCGATCACTGATGAAGTCTGCCAGATCAAGCATGATGAACGATTTTTTTTTTGTACAATACAAATATTTAGCGTCCCAAGATCCAACTAGGGAGGACAGAATAGCGGCGACAGTTGGCGGGGAGGACAGCTTGTAATAAGTAGGGAAGGAGGGGCTAGAGAACTCGGTTGGTGTATCATCAAATGGAGGGGCAGAAATTTAGGGGCTCGACCGATTGGGTATAGCATACTCATACTAATGAAACTTAGTCGGCCACTCTGCCCAAATTGCATCTGTTATCTAACTGTCTCGGATCCTGCCTTCCCACCTCTTCCTTTGTTATAGGACTTGATACAAAACACAGCTTTGATGTCCTGGGAGATAAACTACTGTGTATTAGATTATGTAACAGACAAAGACAGTACTTGAGAAATCGAGTGCCGAAAGAATCACAGCTGCGCCAGTGAAGAGCTGCAAAGAAACGTATCCCAGAAATACAACAACCTAGGCTAATCAACAGCCGTGTTGCCTCTCCGAGAAACTGGAAGTGATATCCAAACGAGGCGTAGCCATTTTTGACCACCTAGGTCAATGCCTATCCTGCTACATCATAGGCCTTATCACATTACGGCGCATTTGTTGCCTCCTGCCGGCTGTGATGGGTTTTGCGACTTTTCGATTTCCCCAATCATTAAGTCAAACGCTTTCGCAACATTATAGTCGAGACGAGCACTAGCCTCAGTAAATGCACAATGGAATTCTTCACAAAGCTGCCGGCCTTCATCTAGAGACACCTGGCGTTGCTCAGATTTGAGATCGCTTTTATTTCCGACAAGCACAAGGGGTACATGATCGGCACCCTTATTTCATGTCAGCTACTAAAGTGGCTGCAAGGTCCGAATTGGTTACTCACAAGATGGTTCAAAATCTTGTCACGTATGACCCTCACCATGTCGAACGACTGACGTGAAGCCACCGAGTAGACAATAATATACCCATGTATTCCGATGAAATGCTTGGAGTTCAATATACTGTACTCGTCCTGTAGCAGTATTAGCCACCCACAGGACTGTAGGCTCAGGCCCAATTTTCTCCATACCTGACCAGCTGTGTCAACGATTTCAGTGGCATAATCTTGGCCATTGTATTTGATGATTCGACTGAACGTGTTTTCGATCGTCGGATAGTAGCTTTCTACAAAATGATGTTCAACAAATCGAACTGTAAGAGAAGATTTACCTAGATAATATTTTAGTAAACATGATGCGATCGAAAGAGTAAAGGATTTTCAAAGAGATAGGAGGCCATACCCACAGAGCGACTGCCAACAATAGCTATTTTGCGCTGCTTCGGTGCACTAGGCATCTTCTAGAGTACGGAGCGGGAAAGTGGCTATAAAATATAAGGCGATTCTTGCGGAAGTTGGTCAATGAATTAGAAATTTTTGCGCACAAAGATATAGGCTTCTCGAGGTCATTAACAGGTATCTAAGCACGAACCCACGGTTTGTTAGAAGCCTCTGTGGTCAAACTTTGTTAATTGTGTAGCACCCTTATGATAGGGATGGCAATCAGATCACAGATGAGCTCACCCGGGAGTGGCGAATGGGCAATCCAGGAGCGCAAACAAGTCAAACGCAACTAAAACAGAGCTAAGTACCAGAAACGCTATTATGTCAAAACAATATTTATGTTTACAACGGGACCACAGCAAACAATTCGGATGGCAATTTGATAGAAGAAGTACGATAAATACAGAAAAATATATGTATATGTTGTCAAAGAAATGTTGTTACTTGTGTTTTACCAGTCTCCAGTGCCAGTAGCAATCAACAAAGGCCGCTCATAGCGACCATTGCAAGAATAGGTCTTTATTGTTACAGTTCGCACATGAAATAACTACTGGGCTGAATGTAAATCGAAATTGCATATGAATATCTCGGCGCTTCATTTATAGACGTGCTTTTTGGCGTATCTGATTCAGGACTTCCTTCAAGCGTGTTGTAGATTTACCTCCATGTTCTCCCGAACTCTCAAAAAGCTGCGAATCTTGCTCAACCTTCTGGTGAAACTTTAAGAATTCTTCTGCCGTTGATAAGACTAGTGTAAGACCTTCGCCACGAATTGATTTCCTGATTTGATTCAGTGCCTCCTCATTGAGACACAAGGTAGCCAAGACAATCGAGAGGTATCCAATCACAACATTATAATGCACTTCGGACACAGAGCGCGCCTTATTTAATTTAGCTCAATGTGTTCTGGAATTGAAAATGATATACTCTTACCTGGTCAACAAATGCAAGCCCCGCGGAAAAATGCTGGAGAAGTAATTGGAGTAGTGACGTAGAATCAGAGACAGGATTGAGAAAAGCAGCTCGTGAGAGCTCGCTTTTTTCCGACAAGTTTATGAGCACACCCAAAGCTAAAATGTTGGCATTTAAAGATCCATTTTTATCCACATTGCGATTCATGGATGCACCAGACAACCCAGTAGTGGCAAGTTCCACAAAATCCGAGACCATGTCAGGAGTAGCAAATTCTTCGCATAGCGAAGGCACATTATTTGTGAGGTTGAGGATAACCCTGGCATATAACATAGGAATCTGCTTACTCCGATCGAACTGACAAAATGGCATAAATTTACCGTGATTCTCGAAAAGCAGCCGGGGAAACTTGTGATGATAATACGCTGGTGTTCCCGGTAACATCGAGTGAGATTCCAGAATCAAGAATGACAACCTTGATAACTCATAGCTCTCGAGACTCGCTCTGGATGTTGCATTGTCACGCTGTGTTATCAGCAACTCGACGATTTGTTCCGTTAGCGTCGCTGGCAAAGGTTCAATGTCGTCCCCCTTCTTGAGGAAGATAGAGAGGCAGAATTGGATGCACGAAAGTGTCACCAAGCAGGGAGAAAGGCTCGGCGATGGGGACGCATTGAAAAGAACAGAGGAAATCTGAGGCAATGTCTTTTTGAGAGATCTTTGCACGACCTTGGACAGGCTGGTGGTTCCCTCAGCTGCCATATTTGTGATGTCGTCGGTCATAGTAAGGAGCTTGTGAGACATTCGCAGGATTATGGCCCAGAAAGATCTCAGGCTTGTGTGAGAGAAAAGACCATTCGAGCAGATGAGTCTAAATGCACACAAAGCCATGGACGTCATGAGAACGTTTTGATCATCCGCTATGCACCTGACAAGCCGTTCATTGAAACCATATTCAGAGAAGCGACGCACAAAGGCATGCTCAAGGAGTTTTGTGCATAGCTGTGCGAAGCTACCACATTTCCCAGAGAGAGAGTTATTTGGATCCTCAATGTCTTCAAATATCACCTCAACTGACTCCCGAAACCGTGCGTTATCTCCAGCCTGTCTAAGCTCATGTATGCTACGGACAGGTCTAGACTCCATTTCTTCGTCGTCACTAACCAAATTCTGGTTACCATCTTTGTTTGTGATGTGTGCCAGACCTGCATCACCAGGAGGTGGCGAGGATGCCGAAGTGTCCCGCTGTTCAAGAGCTGTCAAGCTCAGAGGATTACCCAAGAAAGATCGTTGGCGTGCATAAGTGATCCTAGAGCCCCGTATTCTGGAAAGCATCGGAGTGTCCGCTTTGATAGCCTTTCCAGAACTATGACTTGTTACTTCATCTGGATATTCACAGTGACTTGCGCGAGGGATGTCGGTTTCTTGCAGAGGTCGGGAGTTGTCTGACTGTATGTTTTCAGCTACATTCAAGTCAGAACCACTCGGCCTAGTCTCCTTGGACGGTACTTCTATACCTAGCAAATCAACCAGTCTCTTTCGAGCAGAGACAGTCGTCCTGTCATGCCCAGCTTCCGCCAAAGTCTGGTTGGGGATGCTACCGTCTGAGATGGGCTGTTCTTCAATGCGAAGCCGACGTGATACAGACGCAGCTGGGTTGTAAGGAAACTCTGATGCTCTGCGTTCAATATGGGATTCCTTCAGAGGACTGCAATTCCCTTCAATATCATTAGACTTGTAAGCAACATCAGCCGCACAATCATATATAGGCTCAGAAATATCCGAGGCTGCGTCATCGCTATCGCGTACGTCAATCTGGTCAAGGACTGGCCGTGACTGCTCCGCATGCATATACCTCCTCTTCTTTCGACTGCGCTCGGATTGGTACAGGCCTCTATTCGAAGGAGTAAAAGGCTCTTGGGCTAGATGATAGCCTGCAGATCCACTGCGTTTGTTAAAAAGTGTCGGAGGTCCAGTTGTAGCTTTATCCGCTTGCGATCGAGTGCCAGGGGACGCTGCCGCTGATGAACGGCCAGGCTTCCCCGAAGCTCTCCTGGCCGTATCTTTCTGGGGCATTTAGGAGAAGTACTTCCAATCAACTGCGCATGAATCTATTATCTCCCAAGCGTAGCGGGGTGCAAGGCGCTCGATTAGGTTGGTAACATCCAGATCTTCTTGTAGTGCCAAATTTATGTAGTGGACTATGTTTCAAAGGCAGGTATGAGATCGTGTCGGAACGCACCATATATTGGACAGCCGAATAGATGACTAGACTACAACATCGCACTATGTACTATCTGGTACTCCGTACAATGCAAGCTTCCGAGGTTGGCTTGACCCACCATGTTAATTGGTACTACTTCGTATGAATACCTTACTAATATCCGCTGATTCTGTCAATCACGGGACTGGCTCAACAGCTTCCGAAAGGTCAAATTCTTGAAATGAATGCTCAATGTAATTCTGCACTTGTCCATATGAACTAGGTCCTTTGTTATACAGTCAGAACTTGTGGAAATGTTGTCTACCGTACTTCTGTGTATTACAACTAAAGTTAAAACGTAGGCCATGATGATTTCTAGCTATATCGACTTTGAGCATTCCTATTGCCAATTGTCGGACACAATCCAACATCTAATATACTGCATTGGGTCTACCTAAATATTTTGGACGCTAAAGAAGGCGAACTTTGATAATGATGTCTTATTGACAAAAGATATACCTATAAGCTTATTGTTATAAATGTATATTTGCATGGTTACAAGGCGGTGTCCTACCGTGTTGGTAAGGGGAGATTCATAGTCAAGAGGAAAGCTGTTTTAGTGTGAGAAACGGTATTTATAACATCTAGAGTTAAAGTGCATGATGTGGACGGTGAAAGGAAAATGGAAAGAGAAAAGCCTTGTGTCCATTTTCCATGCTTGATACTCCTTAGATACTATTTAATGTGTTGACTACGCCTTGCTTACAATTCCATGTTTCTATTATTCTAAGGTAAGGATCAAGTGTCAGTACCAGGTTTTAGCTATCTAGTATACAGCTACGTTTTCGAATCGACCGGATCAGCTATAATATGTACCCTCGGGTGTTTATGTATAACCTTATTGATTGGGGATTGGAGTCGCAAGGCAAAGTGTTCTAAAAGACATACATTGATAGACATTGAACAACCACGAATAAGCTAGTTTTTGGCCCTAAGAGGTTCACGGTGGCTGGGGAAAAGCACTGTTCACGAGTTGGTACCCACTAGGTAATATGGTATAGAGTGAAAAAAGAAAATTTTCATTAGCAATTGTTTCCATATGTATCAGGTTAGGCGGAAACTCCGTCCCGAACTTGAAAATCGTTTGCTCAATGCCCATACCCAACAGAGGATAATGGACGGTTCTAGACTGATTGCATGTAGTTGAATCCACTTCTACGAATAGTTTACCGCAGTACTACCGTGATACTTCGATTTACGATTGACTACGGAGTACTGCGAAATGGTCATGTACTAGTGAACAGTCCCACTAACTACTGTACCAATGAGGAAACGTTTTACCTCGCAGATTTGTTATCCTTAGCTTTGAATACCTGCATTACTCTCTAAACTTCAGCCCAACCCGTAACCCGTCTACCTTGGTAACGGGGTACTTCGCTGCGAATATCTTTCTTTCTTGCTTCTTCACCACTTTTCGTCTCTTTCATTTGTTGAGAAGGAGGGGATAAGCTACCCATAGCCAAGACGAACGAGATGTCAGAAGCCACTCCCTCCCCCGCACAAGGCGTTGGCCCCATCTACAGGCCCGATGGCGAAAAGCCCACAGCGACAGTATCTAAAGACATATCATACGAGAATGTCCACGTTTTACCTCAGTCCCCTCAGCTGATCGCTCTTTTGACGTAAGATGAAGGCCGAGTCAACTTATAGGCTAACGCTAGTCAGTATCCTCTGCTGACACCTTCCGTAGCATGATCAGAGATAGAAGGACTAGCCGTGCCGATTTCATCTTCTACTCAAACAGGATCATACGCCTCCTGGTGGAGGAGGGGCTCAATCACCTGCCAGTGGTTGAACAATCGGTCACGACACCTGTAGGTCGCGTCTATCTCGGAGTCCGGTTCGAAGGGAAAATATGCGGTGTTTCCATCATGAGAGCAGGGGAGGCGATGGAGCAGGGTTTGAGAGATTGTTGTCGTTCTGTCCGAATCGGTAAAATCCTTATACAGAGGGACGAGGAAACTTGCAAGCCAAAACTGTTCTATGAAAAGCTCCCTGGTGACATCGCAAATCGATGGGTGCTCCTTCTTGATCCTATGTTTGCCACAGGCAAGTTCTTCGAATCCACGCACTAAACGAACTAACACAAAACAGGGGGCTCTGCGACACTTGCCGTTGAGGTCTTGAAAGCGAAGGGGGTCCCTGAGGACCGCATTCTGTTTCTTAACCTTATTGCAAGCCCTTCAGGCGTTGCAGATTTTGCTGAACGCTTTCCCAAACTCAGGGTAGTGACTGCTTTCATAGATCAAGGCCTAGATGACAAAAAGTGAGTATCTCGGGTCTATAAAACCTACATTTACATTGCTGATCAAGGCCATTCTAGATACATCATACCAGGGCTTGGTGACTTCGGCGACCGTTATTACACGCTGTAGCCATACCAACGAAGATTGTGGCTTTATAAATCGTTACGATATACATACATACATATGTATGAATAAAGTACACTTTTACAGCTTAACGATGTCGCAGCTGGATTCCATTCACAGTATTAGGGTATAGTATCTTCCACTAAGAAGTGTGCCGCAAGTTCAATGTTACTTCATTTGGTACGCTGCGGGATCCTCTAAGTTCAGAGTCAGTATTCATCGGCATATGTATCGTTCCGATCCGCTTCCTCGAACCCAACATCTCGAGCGCTGGGGGAAGTAGCGAAATCATTCGAAGGTCTGACACGAGGATCACTATCCTCGTACTTGGTAGCAGTATCCTTGGCAACCGCGTCACAGGCATCCACCCAGTCCGAGTATACATCAACAGCAGCGGAGAGATCTAAGTATATATCATAAGCAAATGCCACTCACGTAGGAGAGATCATGCACGCACAGTTTATGCCCGTCTGAAATCGCTGACCGCAGACTTTGCAGGACAGATTCCCTAGGCCAAGTTTCTTGTCTAGTTTTACGACGATAGAGTTTTCGTGATTGCAGAAAAGGCACGCAAATGTCGTAGGCAACGGTTCTCTCTAATTCAGTATTAGCGACGGTAACGCCGAGGAATCAGAAGGTGGTCACCTTTCTGGGTTGCTGTGGTTGCCTGCTCGACTTCTTCCGCTTACCCTAAATTCATGGAAAGCTTAGAGAAAGGTAAATTGGCAGTATGTAGAGTGGCATACCATGCTTCAGAGTTTCTGGGTGATTCGACCGGCAGTTCAAGCTGTCTTTTGATACTGTAAGAAGTTTGAACCTCTTAAATTGACAGCTCAATAGCCGGTGTGAGATCAGCAGAGCAATGCACGAAACTGCTGCAGAGCCGGCGGCAAATTTATGTTGTGAAGGCACAAGTCTAATGAAACAAAGCGGTGCGAGCAAGTGACCGGACCGATTTTACCTGAGTGTGCTTCGCAGGCTATGAAGAAGTTTGGGTGCTTCGGTGGAGGACTAGTGATCTTCGGGGAGGGGGGCTAGACAGGTATAGCCTAATCGTCCACTACATGCACTCCCGGAGATTCAAGAACACTGTTCGGTGCACAAGGTAATGGAAATGCAACCAGTTGGTTGACTGGCGGTACATTAGTCATCAGCTAGTTAGTAGTTAACTAGTTAACTAATTAACAACTATCATAAATAACTATGTAGAGTGACTAGTAAGATATTTAACTTAACTAGTTCCCGCCATATAATGTCATACAAAAGAAATCTATGACATCCAGCGATGATGATAGTTAGCAACTTGTGAGTTTATTAATGGTTCCATTAGGTGGTACTATGTGTATCAGAATATCATTAAGATTTTTTCTCAGTAAAGGGTTATATAAGAACTAGAGAACCCATTTGCTAAGTTAACCTAGTAGGGACTGGAGATGAAACGAGCGAAATGTGAACAAGGGGAAAAAAGATAAAATAAAACCACAATATTTCTTAATGTTTGTATAATTTATGTAGATTCCACAGATCTCTACTAGTTGAGATACCGTGAACGGAAAATGGCTTTCGTATGGCACGGGTGGTTAACTCGGGCGGGAAGTACATCACCTTACGTTACAGAGTATGAATATAACTACCATGTAGCCATGTAATGTAATTCGTTCGACGTTGTAACGATTAGAATGTATATGGACAATGTAAGAGCGCGTAAGAGCCCGTGGAATCTGCGGAATAACGGGTCAAAGAGGTAAAGATATTAGACAGCGTAATATTCGAATTTGTATCTTCCTCAGCCACTTGACTCAAGCATAGACACCTGAGAATTTGCGAAAACAGGTCCATAGCAGTACGACCAGGCACTTGCAATCTGGAAGCTGTCCATGTTACGGGAAGATGCTCCGTAGAAACGGGGTAGATAAAATCATGTGATGTAAAAGTTTTGTCCAATCATTGTGGACTTTGGGGGCCTTAGTGGAGGCGCAAATATTATGTAACTGGATAGGGCCGACGCCTCGCTTAGCCGACTTTTCTGTGGGATTTCGATTTCTACTCTCATCCCGCGATCGAGCAGCAAGCAGCAAGCAGCGACAATCGATCCGACTCACCTCCACCAGAGCGTGTGGTGTGATATCCTAGTCTGTCTTCAAGCCGCGCAAGATAGACACGAGTCGCAAATATGGCCGTTGGAAAGTATGTGAACGCCCTATTCTGTTATGAATTTAAGTTGCAGCAATTCGACCGTATTGCGCTCTTGCTGATTTCATGGCAGGAACAAGCGCTTGTCGAAGGGCAAGAAGGGTGTCAAGAAGAGAACCGTTGACCCTTTCACCCGGAAAGATGAGTACTCTGTGAAGGTAAGTTACCAATTTGAAAGTTTGTGGATTCTGCTAACAAGAATAGGCTCCCTCTACTTTCCAGACTAGAGAGTATGGCATCGCCCCCTCCCCCCATTTCGTCGTCGGGACTTTCAGATATCATTCAGCCTCGTTATAGACATTTTTTCTCGCATTCTCCCTGTGCAAAGCAATCACTGACATTCCCTTGTTGAAGTGTTGGAAAGACTCTGGTGAACCGTACCAGTGGTCTGAAGAACGCGAACGATTCCCTGAAGGGCCGTATCTTCGAAGTCTCTCTTGCCGACCTGCAGAACGACGAGGACCATGCCTTCCGTAAGGTCAAGCTCCGCGTGGATGAGATCCAGGGAAAGAACTGCCTGACCAACTTCCACGGTCTGGATTTCACGACCGACAAGCTGCGATCCCTTGTGCGCAAGTGGCAGTCGCTGATCGAAGCCAACGTCACTGTGAAGACGACCGATGACTATCTTCTCCGTCTGTTCGCCATCGCCTTCACGAAGAGACGCCCCAACCAGATCAAGAAGACTACATATGCTCGTTCGTCCCAAATCCGCGCTATCCGCAAGAAGATGACCGAGATCATGCAGCGCGAGGCCGCTAGCTGCTCTCTCGCTCAGCTTACTACTAAGCTCATTCCCGAAGTCATCGGTCGTGAGATTGAGAAGGCTACCCAGGGAATCTACCCCCTGCAGAACGTTCGTTTCCCTCAGTCCTCTTTTACTATAGATAATTGCGACTCATCTAATTTTCCATTAGGTCCACATCCGCAAGGTCAAGCTCCTTAAGTCTCCCAAGTTCGACCTCGGTGCGCTTCTGAACTTGCATGGCGAGTCTACGACCGATGATAAGGGACACAAGGTTGAGAGAGAGTTCAAGGAACAGGTTCTTGAGAGCGTCTAAGCTTTCGCTATTCGCTGGTCATGGATTCTGGTTGCTCTGCCATCTTGGGTTCACGGTGCCACTGCTCCAAGTATGATAAGTTTATGTCAAAAGTAGTGTCGTTAGCCAACAAATGACAGTATATGCAAGTTGTTCACAACGCCATGCAGCTTCTCAACTAGGCCTCATCGCTGGGACGTTTTAATCTTATGGGTAAAGCGGGAGGGTAAATATTTCAGTTTGATTTGTTCAATATTTGGCTTATATACTTCCCAGTCGTTAATTAATTGTAGGTATCGTGAATTGAAGATACATGCGATTGGCGGCTGCTTCTTGCTATAGGACTTGTGAGTCCACTATATGATGACCTCGTACTCGGTATATCATAGGCTTCCAACTCCGCTTTTTCGTATATCGTGTTACATGAGTATAACACGACTCTTAGTGTAGGGCATGCGGAAGGTCGGCCCAGGCTTAGAGAAAAATAAGGCTTGGCAGTAGAGTGTTAGAATTCCTATGCTACGTAGCTATCATCATGTCAGTCAGCTTCTACAGCTAGGGCTATTCCCGCAGCCAAGAAATCCAACTCTCCGGCCACATTCCTCAGTCCTTCATTTCGAGGTTTTGAAACGCTCTTATATGTAAGATCGCTTGTGGGTGCGTTCCGGGGAGGTCCTTGCCCACCTGCCATGTTATCCGGCAACAGCCTTGTGTAACTGGGCCACATTGGCTCAGACGCACATCCGTTATAGGCTTGGCCCTTGGAGGCATTCAAGCCTCAGGGTGATAAATCACGGACAAATCTAAGGGCCGTGGCTTAAATAGCACCCTTTCTTTGTCCTTTGTATCCACCTTGCGAATAGAAATTTTGGCTGCTTGAAGAAATTTATTCTTAGTAGGAAGAACTACTATAAAATCACTGGTTGGTTGGAAATTCGTTTGTTCGTTCATTTAATCATTCTTATATTACTGCGTACCATTCCAGCATTTTGCAGGCCACGCTAAAGATCCTAGTCAGCTTATATCTGATTTCTTTAATTATAGCAGTAATGTTCTATCTATCTCCATATACTCAATATTTTATAAGGGCAGAAAAATCCTTATTTATTCTAGGTTTTTGTTTTTAAGTTATATGTTAGAAAGCTAGCTGTAATCCCAGTAACAGCCTGAAAAACTATAATAATATAAGCCAACCTCCCTGAATCTCAATACAGCGCGTCTTTTAGATACTTCTTATCTTTACTTTCTTATCTTCCTGGGTCTCAATTTCAACATATCTCAAGAATATTTCTTATTTATAATTTTCCTTATGTTGGTAAATCTTGATTTGTTATGTTTTTCAAGATTTTCTTATTTTATTCTTATTTGGCAAAAAATAAACTGAATAGAAGGTTTGATCTAATTATAAAAGATATAATCAATTTAAATAAAAGCCCGTAAAGACAGTAATAAAAGAAAAAATAAAATAATATATTAAATACTATGTTCACCAGGTCCGCAGGTCTTAAGAAGTCTAAGAAGTTACAATATTTTAATTAGTATTCTCATTATTTGATTTTCATCTTCTATATATACATAATATGTTTATTCTTATAATACATTATTTTTAATATTGCTAATATTATTATCATTATTAAAATTATTATAAGATAATCTACTAGACATAATTTTTATGTAAGGATATTAGATTAAGTAGAATATTTATTTTAGATTACTTATCTACTACTATATATTAAATTAGATATATATCATATTTTTAAGAATAAGCTTACATTTTCATATGTATTCTTATATCAATTTTGGTGACTATTATACTTATCAAATATTTCTTAATTTAATCAATATATTAACTTATTTACAAGATTAATAATTTTCATTATTTTATATTTATAGATTTATAATCTACTATATGTCATGATTCGCTTCTGGTATGCTCTAAAGGTCAATTATCCAGTATTACTAAATATTTGATTAACTAGTGAAAGACTAGAAATTTCAATAGAATAACCTAGCTAACAGGATCAAAGTGTTACGGACCCCTGCTAAGTTAACTTACTAGTAAGGCAGACTCGCTAGATAAAAAAACACTGATAAAAGCAGTACTCAGGTAAAGCCAAACTGTTAATTAATATAATTTTAGATTATAACTACAATGCCCAGAACAGCCATGTATTATATAATTATTTATTATTGTATCTATTATCAAGAATATACTCAGGATATATAAAAATTCCAGAATTAGTCACTGGTCTACTCTGAATAGTATATAATATAATATATAAAAGATAAAATATATAAGAATATTTCCTTATATATTTAACTATTTCAATTTTTTATGCTCAATAATACTATCCGTAAATAATTATATATTTAATAGCTTAGTTATAGAAACACTCATCTGTACTTATAAATAACCGTATAATATTATTCAGTCTTACTTCTTTTCTCTTATTTAAAGAATAGTTATTTTCAAATAGTTATTAGTCTGATATCCCTTCAATCCAGTTTAACAATACATATACCAGCGAAGCTAAGCTAACAAGGACAGGGAAGCGATCCTAGGGTTTGACACAATACTATCAGGATAATATATTATTATGATAGAATAACCTAGTTATCAGGAGCGAGGCTCTTGGAATAATGTATTATAAAAATTATAAAAATTATAAAAATTATAAGATTATTAAGATTAGTTCTATATTCTTCTAATATCTACAAAATATTAATTATTTAAGGATCAGTTTATTTTATAAATAGAAACTATTTTTTATTATTACTAAATAAGTTTATAGTTTTTAACAGCTATAAGGAAGTAATCCTTACAAGGATAGTTATCCACCTTCTCCCAGGGTGTACCTGAGTCTATAGGGGATTCTAGGGGTCCGCAGAAGTATCTGCGGGTAATGATGGCCTTAGGGTCTTGTTTTGAACTTTTGCCCCCAGAAGAGTTCCTTACAATAGCTGATTTTTTTCTAGTTAAAATTTTTATCTGATAAATTCTTTTGCTTTTTTTGTTTTTTGTTTTTTTTAATTACTTTAAGGAAGATGCTATCTATTAAAAATGATAAGAAATAGAGATAGTTAGTAATCAAATTAATTTTAGTTTATTATTAAATTCTATTTTTTTCTTGTAAAGATGTAATAATTAGAATATTATATTAATTTTATACTCAATTTTAATCTTTGAAGATATTAAAAATAAGTGTTAATTTAACATATATATCTTAGGGGGCTTCCAGAGAAATATATTAAAAAATTTATGAAGAACTTTTATTATTAATTATACAGATCTATTATATGAGCAGAAATAATATTATTTCATCAATAATAAAACTTTTAGAAAAGATTTTTGTAAAAGATCATAATTTTAATTTAAAATACTGTTATCTTTTAATCAGATATTATAATCTAATTAAAATAATTCTACTAATAATATAATCAAAATTTAAGAAATTTTTATATTTATTTAAATATCTCGAATTAAAAATCTCCCTACCCTAGAGTATTAACTATATAATAATCTTAAATTATTATTAATCTTCTTTTATTTTTTAATTAAATTTATATTAGACTTTATTATAATAATATTTTTTTATAATTACTCATTATAAAAAAGGTATTAAAACCCTAATAAGTTATTTAAGTTAAATTAGTAAAGTCTATTTTAGTCTTGGAGAATAAAGACTCTGTTTTAATATTCTCAATGTTATGTTAATATTTAGAAATAGCTAGACAGGGACTTATATTAATATTTAGATTATATATATTTATTTAATTTAATAATATATGTACTGGAAATAGTAGTACTATTTTAATTTAATTAATTATCATAGAAATCTCTGAAATTACGGCCAAAACAAAATTTCTAATGAAAATTCAGAATTATATATGTCAAAGACAGCTAATATAATAAAATAAATATTTTAATATAAAAACCAGAATCTGATTAATCAGGTTAATAAAAATGTTACTTTATATAAAAATTACAAGGTTTTAACCTACAAGGTTTTAACCTACAAGATTATAACCAGAAAAACCTTCTAAATATTAATATAACTTAACTATCTGATTACTAGTAATATTTATGAATAGAATTTTTATATCAATGAATATTACAATATATCAAGTAAGCCAGGTTATAAAAAATAATTTTATAAAATGATTTATTCTTATTAATGATAGAACTTGATAATAATTATATTATAATTAGATCTTTTATAAAGAGGTGCTGCTTGATAATAATAATTAATAATATTATAATCTATAATTAGAATCAGTATATTCTACAGTATTATAAATATTAAAATCATAGATATACATTTATAATATCTAGCCTGCGGGTATTATATAGATGATTATAAAAAGATTAATTATTTTTATAAGAAGAATACTAATAAGAATTATGTATATTATAATTCTAAATATATTTATAAATATAAAAAGACATGCCTGAAGATAATATATTGATAATATTGAATCATATTATTGGATTCTTTATTAATTCATTAGTCAGATATTATATGTGAAAAAGGTCTTTTATTAAATTGTTTAATATTATTATTAATTTCAATGATAGAAATGAATATCTTTCAGTAATATTATTTATAAATTCTTTTAATATTCTAAGACTAATTCTGTTTAGTTTCCAGGATTTATAATAAAATTAAAAAATTAATAATTAATTAGGCAACTGTTATTGAGACTCAACAAAACTCCTATTAGACTCTATAGCTAATTCAATCAGGTTAGCAGCTCTCTATTAGAAATAACTCTATATAAGTAATAATCCACTATCTGAATAAAAAATTAAAATAATATTTATTTTTAATTTCTTATTATTTTTTAATCATTCTGATATTTATTTATTTACTTACTAGTAATTTCTATCTATTAATTCTATCTAGTAGAATCCTATACATATAGCTTTATCTATTCAAATATTAATATTTACTAATTAACTAAAATAGATTATTACCTGCCTGTGTTTCCAGCACAGTTTTTATTTATTTTCGAAATATTTT